TCTAAAATCACTTCCAACTTCGTCTAGAATTTTTTTCAGTTCTTCTGCATAACTTGGATCAGAAGGATAAATGAATCTCCATGGACCTAACTTCAGAGCCATGTGTTCACTGCTGCTGAAAATTGTAACACTGAGAGGAAGGTGAGGTCTCACAGACCGCTCTAGAAGAATTTCAACAGATACACTTGCCAAAGCATTATGATAGGAAGGGGTCAGAAAGAAGGTCACGAAACGTGAAGCTAGGGGAAGAATCCATTCAATTGGACAAAGCATGCAATAGGGCTGATGTGAGGAACATGTGGCGCGGTTCGTCAGACCGCACGTCTCCTGTTATGGGTTAAGGTTAAGTTCACATCCAGTAAATGTGGCAACATGCTATTGATTTCTACAGTCAAAAGTCGTTAATCCGGACTCGTCGGGACTTCGCCGATTCCGGATTATCGATTTTTCCGGATTATAGATCATCAGTTTAAATCTGCTAAGATGGCATGCAGAAATTCTAAAATTAAAAATATGAAACCGTAATTTATGAAATAAAGAACAATTATAATCTAAAGGGTATCAAAATTTACAAAAAAAAAAAAGCTTCATATTTATTTGTTTACTTATTAAACATTTCTTTCAATGTAAGTTGTTTAAGTTGCTTCGTTTTATGTGATAATACTTTCTCTTTAATTCTATAAACAGACATAATTTCTTGTTCAGTTACAAAGTTCCGCTGTTCAAGTCCCGTTAATTGCTGTGCCGAGAATACCGACTAACTTCTCAATCGAAATTTTTTCGTTTTCACTAACCTCTCTGTCACATTCTTCATGTCTTTATCCATTTTTTGCAGCAATTCCACTTTTTGTTTGATGGACATCGAAACATACTTTAGTTTATTACGATCCTTTGAGAGCTCCAGAATCGGAAATTCTATTTGACATAATCGAAAGTTCAAGTTTACTTTTATAAAATTGCTCTTACAGTCTGCAAAAAATAATAAGCCGGATCCAATTCGAAGATTAAGCATCAACGCAATCATCAACATTAACTGAAATAGATAATTAGATAATTTTAGCTTATACCGTCCGTTATACATAACGTGCACGCAAAAACGTTTTCTGCGCTTGCTCACACGCATATGCGCAGTCGTAAAAGGTCTTACGCGCACGCGTAAACGTCTATGCGTATGTGTCAACGCGGCGCACGCGCAGAAAGTTTTTACCTTTGAGGTCCGGATTATAGATCATTCTGGATTATGGGTGTCCGAATTAACGACTTTTGACTGTAATCACACAAATGGATTTCTCCTCCTTCATCAAATCATAGAAAATATTTTCATATAAATGCTTTTTCTATTCTGTGATAACACTGTTATTTTTCTACAAGTAATTAAAAAACTGTGTTTATGCCATTACTTCTTACTGGTTTGTTTTCACATTAGCTCCAATAAACTTGTCAGCCATTTTCATGTTTGATACTCCATCTCATCAGATGCTTTCTTAAATCATTTAAAACATGTAAATTATATTGAGTTTCAACTGTTCTTCAGATGACTATATAAGGTATTTCTCCTGCCTTCTTAAGGAGCCTTCATTGTGTAGTGGTCTGTATGCTCAGCATGTTTGAGAGGTCCACAGTTCGATTCCTGGTGAAGGCGTTGCTAATTTTTATCTTCTCTGCTTATAAAAATACCTAATGGCGCGGTACTGCACAACTGAAAGTGACACATGCAAACCTATGGTTTTGCACACTTGAGATGTGCAGTTGATTGTTACAGAAGATTTGTCCATGTCCAGATCTTTGACATTGGTAGCAAATCGTAGGTCTTTTTCCAGGTATGTATTTCCTAATTTTCATCTGAAGGTCAGCAAGAGACTTGGCAGAATAAATATTTCTTCTTTCTTCAGTTCTGCAAGGTGAAGCAAAGAAAAGAGGAAGTTTCTTAATTCCATCTGGAATTTGTTTCAGGAGTTATTTAACTTTGAGTACTGGAATACCTTTGCCACAAAGCTCCTTCATTATATCTTCTTCAGTCATTTCCATCAGGGGTCCACAAATGACAACTTTTATTGGAAACTGATTCTTACTTGTGCTGAAATGTGCTGAACTGCACTTCTTAAGACCAGCAAGTGCATTTTCAGGCTTAGCACTTGAGGCAAAGTTGACTGTAACTATATCCTTAGATAGCAATCCGGTATTATTATCACATCCATAAGTTGTGAAAAGCTTCTGACTTCCTTCTGGAAAAAGGCTGTTTTTACGTAGTTTATGCATAGTAAAGTATTTGAAACTTTAAAAAAATAAATATCGTTAAAAATAATGGATTAATTTTTTGTTGAAAATGTTGTTTTTTAAGATGGCAGGCAAATGTAAATAAATACATTTACTATGAGTATAAAATACTAAAGTAAGGTTAAATTATTACTTTCATATAGCTAAGAAATAGAATAAAAACACCGCTATAAAAACATTGCACCAACATTTAATTGGATTATAATATTACTTAAATTGAATATCAAATTAAAAACATCATACCAACTTTTAAAAGAATTAAAATATTACTTGAATTGAATATCAAATTAAAAAACCATACTAATGTTTAAAAGAATTAAAATATTACTTAAATTCAAATCCTTTAAAATAAGTTTTATAGGATATAATTATTTAACGTTAAAACATATGTGGCAATAAATGTCTTGGCAATTTTTGAAAACAGTGTATCAATTTTTTTAATAAAAATTGAAATATACAATTTTAAAGTAAAAGGAAAATATGTACTTACATTGAGTATTTAACCTGTCATATATTGATAAGTACCACAAAAAAAAAATCGGAATCATAATTTAGATATCAATGAAAAAATTTGAAAAATGTAATATAATTTAAAAAGTGTAATCTAAGAAAAAAATTTGAAAAATGCAATCTAAGGAATTTGAAGAGCTGGATAATAAAATTTTAAAATGGTGCGGTAATGCACAAATATTCAGCAACCAATCAGGGAGCTGATTACAGCTCGTTGATGCACAAATATTCTGTAACCAATCATGGAGCTGATTACATCATGAATGGAATTAAAATTATTTAAATAATCATACATAATAAAATCATTTTCAAAAATGCAAAATTAAATTGTATTTTAATATTTAACAGCCATAAATAATGTTTAAAACATTAGATTAAATTTATAGATATTAAAACCAATTACTTTTAAAGTAATGTGACGTCATTTATTACATCATCCACAACATAAAATTCCATAAAATATTATAAACAAAAAAAGTTTTTATTTCAAATAAAAATGCAAAATTAAATTGATTTTTAATATTTAGAAGCCATAAATAATATTTAAAACATGGAATTTATGCATGATAAAATGCATTATTTAAAAAATAAAATGACAACAAAGTATCGGTTACCATAAATAACTTGTCTAGCAATGGTTTACCATAAGTCGTATCGCTTGCCAAAGAATATCGCCAAGTTCCGTGCAACCGTCTACCAAAGTAGCACTAACTATTGTTAAGGTCGAACACAACTAAGGCATTGAGGATTCCGTTGTCATTGTAAGCTTCTTTTGATCTTAGACCAGAATTTATCCTCATTAATCCTGTTCACTGTAACAGTAAAAAAATTGTTAGCAATACTTTGCCTAAGCTTAGGTATCGCATTGTCATACACAAGTTGGGATTCTCTCGGCACAGATTTTTGTCTTGAAAAGAGAAGACAGAAGGAATGGTTATAAGCGCAGAGAGAAGGTTCTATTATGGCACATCACTGGCATTGATAGTTAGACATTGCTATTAAATATGACATGAAATTGTAAATAATATTGAAATGGCTAAATTACAGTACTATTATTGACTGAAACACGTAAATTCATGACTTAATACTTTCACTGCTGTTCAGACATATGAGGGGGTGTTATTATATAATACCTACCATGGAAATGAATGTGTTAATTATGTTCGAGAAATGACAAGAAGTAAAGTTACTATTTATTCTTATTTACTAAGAGTAGTTTAAATGTTAACAGTATGTTCTGCTTGTAAGGAAATTTAAATTTTCAATGGCATTATTAGCCCAAAAGGTCTCAAAATGGGATTTTGTATTAGTACTTTTTTTTTTGCACTATGAAAGGTGTATACCACTTTTCAAATAGTTGCCACAAAATATTATTACTTTAGATTGTTCTTAAAGAAATTAAATAATGAAGAATCTACATGTATGTATATATGTTTATTGCATAATGAAAAAAACTTTACCTAGAGCTGTCTAATTTTGAATAACATAGTCCTTCACCCTAACAAATGCACCTGGAAGCCAGAATTTTGAATTTGTTTTATTATTTGTTTCATAGTTTATAAAACTTTAATGAATTTTTTATTAACAAACTCAACAGTTTGAAGGAGAGTAGTAGCGGTACTGTATGGAATAAAACACTTTTATCTTCAGCACATGAGACTTTCTATTGGTAATTCTAAAAATGGCATATCTATAAATATTTTACAATTTTGAATTGAGTTTTGTATGGTGAAAGTCCAAAGAACATTATATTAATAAAAATCTTAACACATAAAACGTTCATAATTAAAATGACAAACAATTTTTTTTGTTAGCCATCTTGCTAAGAAAACTAAGTATTGCTATGGTGAACTGAGAAGAGACTGAAAAAGTATAAAAACATATGTCAACACTTAGCAATGCATTGGAAATTCTAAAAATATGTTGCTATGCAGCATTTAAAAAATTTGTGATGTTGTTGTTGAACTGCAAGTGGCGTAATTATGAAGGAAATGATGCTTACTAATAAAGCTAAAAAGATTAAAAAAAAAAAAAAAGTGAGGTAACAGGAGCAGACTGATAAGCCTTTGAGCTCAGTGAGAGCAAAAAAAACCTTAACAAACCCCTTTGGGCAACCTTTAAAATCTGAAACCTTTCAGTTTTGTTTTATAATGAACTTGTTTGTACTGTTATTATATTTATAATGAACTTGTTTGTACTGTTATTGATTTTAGAAATTAGCTAAAAAAAGACAAAAGCTTCGGAGAAAGCTAGAAGAAGAGCCTGATGTGGAGTATGATAGTGATGTGGGAGATTTACAGGCTACAAGGTTTGAAGATGAAAAAATTTTGTCTGAGCCAGAAATGGCAAAACCAAAACCTGTTTCAAAATTCAACTCTGCAATTACTTTGGAGAAACTAAAGCATAATGCTCTTCAAATGAGGAAAAAGCCAGGTAATTAGAATAGACTTTAGAATTGGAACTTTGAAAATTCAAGGACATGAATTACTTCTTCCAAAAGTGTGAACTGTAATCTGTGTACCTAATCTATTTTTTATAAGATTGTCGATTATATTATATTAATTGAAACAAATGGGTGAAATTATGGTTTACTTTTGTCACATAGCTGTTTCAAAGACTATTATGAAAAGTTATAAAAATACTGTGTATGCATTAATCATTATTATTGCCTAGGAATTGTAATGGATGTTTTATAACCTGATTTTTAGTTTAGCTATGCAATCAGGAGTTTCTGGATTAGCTAAAAAATTGTGCGTTGTTGTCAGTGTACTTCAGCATTTGTTGTTTCTTAAGATTTTAGCAATTTAGTTTTAACCACTCCAATGCAATTTTATCAAATGCCTTTTTTTAAAAGAAGAATTGAGCTTGCAAGATTGATTTAGATGTTAGTGTTAAAATCAGTTTTTATCAGGTGAATTTTAACTTTTCATATAAAGATTAATTTTTTAATGGAATTGCAATTATTTTTAAAAACAGCTTACTTTTTTGTTATGTTAGCTGTGAGAAATACATTTTTCTTCACTTCCATCAGTAAACCGTCAATCCTTGTGAAGGTAATGTGATTTTGATTGAAAATAAGTATTTGTTGTTGTTGTGCCCATATTACATGGAACAATGGTTGCTAGAGCCTACTCCAGGAGAGGTTGAACTTCTATTTTCTACTCCCAGTTTTGAGGGAAGAGCACTAGGGGGGATCTGCGGGTCTCCTACCCCTCTCCACTCCCACCTATCCACGCGAGAGGACTTTTGGTTTGCCGCATATTTAGAGTGCCACCATGCCACATTGACATGATACATTTACAGATTTATAGTTGGCTCCACTAACCACTATACCATCTGGGGGACAAATAAGTATTTAAATTATATAAATTGCCATATTGTATTTAATATTTTTATTCATTTTACTGCTGATCTCTCTAAGAAATCCATGAATATTCAGCAGCTCTAAAATTTTCCTTTGTAATACAAATCTAATAAGTAAAATTAAAGGAAGGAACTATGTTTCAGTTATCATTAAATGACCGTGTGTATATAAAATCCAAAGTGTATATTAAGTGTTAATATACACACTGATACTGATAAAAGGAGTATACTTGACTACTCGAGAGAAAAGCAATAATAGTTTTATTGAAGATTGACATTTATCTATATCCATTCTGTTCTTTTGCTCATTGAGATTATCTGGTCCCCCCCCCCAACCAGAAAAGGGGAAAAATTAGATGTGTGCTCACTGGGAATCAAAACATGCATCAGGGTGATTGGTGAGGAAGCACAAGACCAAATCCGGATGGTTGTAAATCATTATCCACAATACTTTAGTTTCAACACTATTGTAATGATTATTAGATTTTTTTTTTCCAATGGGAAACATAGAAAATCAGATCCACTGTCACTGAGAGTTGAACCACAGTTCTTTCAACTTTTATTTAATGTACTAGCAGAATATCAGAAGAATGCTCTATTTCTTTATATGCTTTGATAGAATCAGATATATGGGTCTAAGAAAGCATGAAAGCTCAATAAATTTAGACCAAAAATTTATGGGTGAAAAATTTTTGCTTATCTATTAAGTAAATAGATCTGCAAATACGGTCAATAAAAATCATGTTTTTATATGTCTTCCAGTGTTGCAATATTGATATTCCTTTGCATTAAAAATTTCTAGATCAAACCTAAGTAACTCTTGATCTGCAGAAATGATTCTTTAATTCTTGAGAGTCAATACTGAATACCTTTAGTAGTTATTTCTATTTCCATGCGTCTCATAAACATTTTTCTTGGAGATGTTTTTGGACTCTTGTTACAGTAACTTGCAGTTTTTGAAGTTAAATTTCAGATTAACCTGCATACAGATAATTAAAAAGAACATTATCAAATTTTACTAATTTTTTAATTCTTGAAAGGCTAAATTCATTGATGCTAACTTTATTTCATCAGCTATTGCATTTAATAGTGAATTACAATATAATTTTCATTCTGTGAAATCTGTGGTAATTTATGTAAATAAAACTGGTTTACATTTAAAAGCTAAAAATGTAGAGTTAAATGTAGGAGAATTTTGTTTATTTACTATATAACTAAAGTAGGAAATAAGATTGCGGACAGAAGATTTTTTGTACTTTGAAGAATAAGGACTGATATCAATGTTTTACAAATTTATAGCTTTTGTATAAAACTATTGTCAGTATAAGATTGAATTTTGCATAATTGGGATATGTTATTAGAGTAATATCTTCTTAAGACTGAAAGCTTGATTACTAATCAATATTCCAGATATATTAGAATAATATTTCTCTTTTAATAACATTTACAGATAAAAAAAAAAAAAAAATGCATGTATTATATTCTTTGATTTTTTCAACTGTTTCTTATCATACCTGTTAACTTTAAAAATATTATTGAATGAGAAGTTAATATTATATATGTTCTTAAAATTTTATATCAAATTTGATGTATTTAGGTGCTCCTAAACTACATATTTCTGTCAATCATGATATTCCTATCACACCTTTGAATCAGTGTCCGAGGTATTGTATGCTGTCATTTGTTTTTGTTCTGATTTTTCATGTTTTTTGTAATTTTAATTTGTTAAGTTATTTTTCTTTTGCAACACTTGTCAAAATATTTTATTGCTTCACTTTTGATAGTTACCAAAATATTTTTAAGGCAAGAAGTGCAAAGAAGAAATGCAGTTTCCAAGAAAAAACTGTACTTCAAGATTATGTATAATAGCAAAAAAGTATCTGAAACTTGTGAAAGGTAAGTGTTTTTTTTTTTTTTTTAATTTTTTCTATTATAAATTTCAAAAGATAGATTTTAATCTTTTTTTAAACATTAAGCATTTTAAAAAACAATCAAGTTCTGCAACTATTGAGAAGCTTTTTCATTTCCCCTCCCTGTCATCTGTTCTATATATTTCAGACTATATTTTGAAGTTGATAAGGAAATATTGTTTTAAAATAAAAAAATTTTTTTTAGTTTGCTTTATTATATTTAAATAATATTAAAAGTTGTATAAAATATTATTTTCCATACGGTGTTGCCATTGCTCACTTTGAAATTGTTGAGTTTGCTAATAAAAAAGTTAAAGTTTTGCAAAATATGAAATAAATAATAAAACAAATTCAAAATTCAAAATTTGGGCTTCCAGATGCCCACATTAGGGTGGAGACATACGTTATTCAGAATTTGATGGCTCTAGGTACCATCATTTTTTCACAGTGTGAGAAATATACATACATTTATGCAGATTCTTCATTATTTAATTTCTTTAAGTATAATACAGGGTAATAGTATTTGGTGGAAACAATTAAAAAAGTTATAAGGTATTTTTTCTGCCTTCTTAGCTAGCCTTCGTGGTGTAGTTGTCAGCGCGCTAGACGTGCATTTTTAGAGGTCCGTGGTTCGAGTCCCTGTTCGGGCGCCACTTTGGAGACATTAGGTTCTCTCAAAAGCAGAAGACATGAAAAATGAGCAACGCCCTTGCCGGGACTTGAACTAAAGACTTTTTGAATATGCGTCGAGCGTGCTGACCACTACACCATGAAGGCAGGCTAAGAAGGCAGGAGAAATACATTATAAAGTGATATGCCATTTATAGTGAACTGATGCAAAATGCCGGTTTGAGACTAATAGCCCTTCAGAGTTGATGCACCTTTGGGCTAATATTAATAACAATAATAATAACAACAACATTAATTAAAAAAAAGAGCGAGAATTTATCAGCTGAAGAATTTTAGCATATTATGTAATTGGTAAGGAAGGATATGTGGTTTGAACATAAGATGTGCTTAAGTGAGGCTATAATTATGATAATGTTTTGTGCAGTGTTGGAATATTCAAAGGAAATATTATAGTCCCTCTTTTAATTTGGTACTTTTTTGTTAATTGATTGTACACATCCTTTTTGTGTTCGTCAGATCTCATTTTATTAAGTGTTGTTATCCCCATAAATATATTAAGGAAGTGACTAGAAAGAAGACTAAGTGATTATATTTGTATTTGTGTAACAGAAATTAGAAAAAATATTACTCCGATAAATGATTAGTGGCAAGTATTAATCCAAAAGAAGCAAAATGTACTATTTGACAAAATGTTTTTAAAATTCAGTATATGGATGTTTTAGCAGTAAGACAAGATAAACAATAAGATCATCATACACACAAAAAAGTACTGCATTATCATCCATTTGTTTGATTGATAAGTTTATCATAAAAGCAAATTCTAAAGAAGATAGAATAAATGCTCGAAAATAGTTTAAATATACCATGCAATTAAGCACAACCATTCCTGTAACTCACTTGATTGTAGTTTGAAATTAAATTTTAAAAATTCACTGAGATTCCAAAGTAGCTAAAAAAATATCTTACAATAGAACAAAATCTGAAGTAGTTGCTAGAAATGTGCTTGGTTAAAAGGCGTTAGGAATAATTTTGAATGAGTTGAAAAATCATGATCTATCTCTGTATTTTTATCTTCAAATAAAAAAGACATGAAAATATCTCCAGTGAGAATTCAGTGTTATGGCATTCAGTACATTGAATTATATAATTGACTTTTTTGAATCCAGATAAAAATGCAGTTGGAATGTTCCAGTGTTTGAAAAATAACATGAATAATCTACAATTAGAATGAGAAGGATTTTTTGTTTTAGTGCAGATAATGCAAATTATAATTTTAGAATAATGTGTTCTTTAAATACCAACATCATTGCATTAAATGAAGGTGTTTTAAAGCTAATTGCAGTACTTACACTGTACATAATACAGTAAAATGTAGTATGAGAAACATAAATGTGAACATGGAAAGTATTGCTTTAAAAATCTTCAGTAATCTTTCAATGTCAGCAAAGAGACATGAAACACTGGAAGCACTTAATTTATTTTTAGAAACAGAATTCCATGAAATTCTTGAGCATGTGTCTATTAGGAGTTTTATTTGAAACCATGTATTAGAAGAATTTTAATTACTTGTAAAGCCTTAAATTCTTATGATCATGTAAAGTATTCTCCTGATTTCATATAAAGCTTTGAATTCTTATTTCTTAAATAGAGTAACTGATTGTTCTAACCAATTATTCGAATAGCTATACTGATAATAATTCTATAAAGTTAAACCAATAATACTGAAGTATAATTATTGTTCTTACAATATATAATGTCAACATTCAGCTTAGCTGTTGAAGAACTAGAGAACAACATTCCATTTAGTGCAGGCCCACCAGCAGCCGAGCGGTAAAGTCGCTGAACACTGGTAGTTTGGTCTGAGTTTCAAATCCCACAAAAGGGCTGGCTGCATGGGCGTTTTCGTGGTTTTCCCCATGTGTAACGTGTATACGAGCCAGTTTCCGTTAGAAAGTCCTCCATGAAGGCATCCCTCCCCTTAGGTAGATAGCCCTCGTGTGCTTTGCCATAATTAAATACACCAACACCATTTAGTGCAGATATTTTCATTATGTTGACCAACTTAAGAAATGAGCTTAATATTTTTTGCATTTTTTTTGGCTTCCAAGTTCAAATTTGACAAAATTAGATAATGCAGAATCTCAAAAGAACATTGATGATTTTCAGTTATTTCTTTCTTCAGCCAACAACTTATTTAGAAGAATACTTTGATGAAAATTCTACATTTGACAAATTATCATTGTAAGTCTATTAAATAATTCATCAGATTTTGTTTTCAAAGAACAGATTTGAAACAGATTTTGTTTCAAATTTATCAACGTTTTTGAAGATTTAAAGCTAAAAGAAAAGCTGTATTTGAGTTTGTATGACCTTTTTCTTGATGAAATGTTAATTAAAAAAAATCCTCCACTTTTCATAGTTCTGAATATTATAGATGATCCAAAGCATTAATCCATAGTTAAAGGCCAATGATTTTAAAAAGTGCTGATTATAAATATATGAATATTTGAAAAAAAAATTCCTTTGTGTTTTCAATTCCTTAGTATCATGTCAATTAAATAGAGAAATGGATGAAATAGACGTTCAGTTTAACTTACAAATTATTTACATATTTTAATTCAAAAGAAAGTTGTTCAGAATTTGTTTCGAAAAAAAAGATTCACATTTTCTCAAATTTTAAAAAACCCGAAGTTTAGTTTTAAAAGTTTCAAATACAAAGTTTTTCTGTATTTTTGAATTGAAGTTTTTAAATTAATTCCTAATTATTATTCTAATAATACTCCTTTTGGGTTTAATAAGTTGATATATTATTACCTATATTACTAAAGTAAAACTTTTTTTGGTTGTCTTCAGAATTTTAAGAAATTGTTCATTTACATGAACATCAGCTCTAAAGTTTTATTCCATTAATTTACAATAATAACAAAAGAATTACTGTAAATATATTTTATATTGTTCTCTGTTGCAGGTAAATAGAATTAGTAATCCTAATTATACCTTAGATACTTTAGAAGATTGCCTTTTTCTTATTTCTGGGCTTCTTTAAAAGTTTTGTATGGTAATGAATTAAACTTGTAACATTAAATAAAGCATCTTTCCTGAGGAATTTGAAGCATATCTGAATATAAAACAGAGGAGCTTTTAAAGCCCTTAATTCAACAGATATTAAGATTTTGATCTTCTGAAAATTACTTAAAAATGATTATAAACTTTAACAGTAAATGTAAAAGTGCAAGATAGGTTCAAATTACATAATGCAAGAAAACTGCGTAGTTAGTAATTTAGGATTTCAAAGAATAGTTCTTTTTTCATGGTAAGTTATGAATTTAGCAATTTTAGTGTCTGTCTTATTAGTACCTGTTTTAAAGTATGAAACATTTAGCTGTGATCAAGGCTTAAATTCAGCTTATGCCTGTTTCTAATACTTTCAATGTTTGAGTGAAATTACAATTTCAGCCAAAGCACACCAGAGTTTCAAATAAGACAACTCTGTTGTAAACTGAATTCCAATATGTACAGAAAATAATACTACCAATACAACATTTAATTTAGCTGCGAGTAAAACTGATATTAGTATTAAATCTGGAATGAAACACTTCAATTTACCCGGGAAGAGCAAAATTAGTGAGCAGCTTCAGCAGCTGAGGAAGAAAGTTGCTCAAAATGCAATCCCATCATGAAGTGAAATTTTTATGGACTGTATTCATATGACAAAAATGTCTTGAAGTGGATTAGAAGGCAAAATAAAAATCATAGTTTAGCTGTGAAGAATACTAATCAAAATAATTACTTCTGTATTATCTTTCTCCTGAACTGTATAACGGGCAGTGGAGGGTAAACTGCAGGGTGAGGGTTCGAATTCCATGCAAGACTTCATTGCTTATGTGCCCTTCCACCTTCTTGTGAATGTAATATCAGAGTACTTGTCTGTTACCCAGTGTAACATTCAGGCCGTTCTCGATAATTGCATGAGAAGCAAATATCTAGTGATTTGAAGAAAAGTAAAAAGAAAACTTACCTTTTATCCTCTGTATTGTCTGATTATTAAGAATTTATTCACTTGTTTAATTATTCCATTTAATTTTTATCATTTTAATTTGCTATAAATTAATTTTTTTTCATTTAACTTTTATATTTTAATCCATTACCAGTTTACTTATTATTAGCTTAATTTATTGATATTTTATCCTTTTATATTTCATTTAACTAGTCATTTATTTATTAGTCCAAAGGAGCAATTTGTCCAGCAGGACTATTAATTTCGTTTTGGCATGTTGTGTGGATTCACTATAAGTGTTGTTTCACTTTTCAAATTGTTGCCAGCAAATATTATCTTAATGTATTATATTTAAAGAAATTAAATAATGAAGAATCTTCATAAATGTATGTATGTTTCTTGGATTGTGATAAACAACGGTACCTAGAGCCATCCAGTTTTGAATAACATAATCTTCCTGAAAATATGGGCATCTGGAAGCCCAAATTTGAAATTTGGAATTTGTTTTCGATCAACAATTTCATAGTTTGTAAAACTAAGGAATTTTTGATTAACAAACTCAAGGATTTCAAAGCGAGCCATGGCAACGTTGTACAGAAAAAACATTTTTATCTCCAGCGCGCGAGACTGTGTATCGGAAATTCTAAAGATAGGCTTATTTTAAAATTATTTTGTGATATTGCCCTTGAACTGAATTGTATGGGTTAAGTGCGGAAAACATGATATTTAATAAATAGAGGTAACACACAATATGTTAGAAAAATGCCCCTTTGGACGTAATTTAAAATCCGAAACCTTTCAGATTTTTTTTTTTTTATTTATTTATTTTTGTTCACCATCCCTGACCACCTTCTGCAGAGCTCTAGTGCTTCTAATTTTAGTATTAACCCTTGGTTATAATATTAGAACTCGATTCCCGGGCAGGGCAATTTCGTCTTAGCCTTTCATCTGTTGATTTCCATCACTCGGGTCAATAAAATGAGTACCAAGTTCGCTTGGGGACTAAACAGTGGGGGTCTTGCGACAAGCTGACCACTTGTTCAGGGCATATGCTTATGCACTCCAGGGCCCTCGGTCAAGAAAGCAGATTTCGAGCACAGCAGGCCTTGGCCCATTTGGGCTGTTACGCCACTGAGTTTAGTTTTTTTAATATTAGAACTCGATTAAAGCTTTTCACAAATGAGTACTCAAGAAGAAAACTTCAGTTAAATATGGAACATAAAATATATGTAAAACTTTGTAAAGATGCCATAATAAAAGCTTACCAAATTCTGAGAAATTTCTTTCTTCTCATTCAAGTCTTCCCAAAATTTTATTTCATATATTAAACAATAGTCCTGAGAATTATTTGTGTTGAATATTTTGTATGTTTCTATTGAGATTGAAAATAAGCTTCTACATGAATCTATATCATATGTAAATACTAACAATACTCATGATGTGACAAGTGAAACTTAAAAGATAGAATTGCTGATTTTGCCAATATCAGCATTAACTGTTTGAGCATTCGACTTTTATTATATACTAAGATGAATCAGGAATTAATTTACTGATTATGCTTGGAAATATGTTACAGTGAGATTTGCATAAACCAAACAGAATTGAATTATGACTCTATAATATGACTGAACAAATTGAAAAAAATTTCTTTTCAAATTTGGTGAATTAAATATTTTTAGTATGTGCAATTTGTTATTTTGATAAACATGTTGTTATTATGATATGTGCATTTCATATTTTAATGCATATGGTGTTAACATATGATGCTAACTTACATTGCTTAATATAACTTTTTTAAAATGTGGTGTGTCAAGCATTATGCCTCTTATGCAAATTCAAGAAATGTCCCCTAATTTTCTTATTCCAAGATTGTGCACTCAAGAGTTAAAGGGATACATACATAAATATTTAAAGGGAATCTTGTATGGAGACAGAGAGATATATATGAGAAAGAAAAAATACTGCAGATAAAAAATTATTTCAAATTGTTCAGACAAAAATGGAATACATACTGTGTGAATTTTAGGTGTTTAACTGTACAAAGATAAATTCTAGAGAAAATTAATATGAAATTAATGAAATATATTATGTCTAAACTTTATTTTCTGCTTACTAAACTGAAAATTAGTTCTTTCATTTATCGCTAAGCAATTTTTCTGTTAATTCAATAATAATACATACAGTGGAGTTTTGTGTCTTGCTAAAAAATCTTAATATGGAAATTTCATTTGCATTCTATATTAAAAAGAAAATTCAAACAAGAAATTTTCTGAAAAAAAATTAGCAAAAGCTAATAAATTTATTGCAAGTAACAGAATGTGTGTTCTGCAAATTTATGATTTTGTCTGCAGTTAACATTTTAAAAATGCTTTTTAAAATAAATCATGCATGATTTAGATATGAAATTATATTTATACTTATTAGTGTATATATGTATGTCATATTAAAAGCACAAGGAAAGACGGAATACTGTGGAATACCATATTGAAGAAGAATTTTGATTGCGTAGTATTTAAAGAACTTGGCAGTCGAGGCAGTTTTAATTCCATTTTTATTTCCAATTGATATTTGTGGCCACAATCACTTGGCACTCTAGTCGTGCCTTTCCACAGAAGATTTACATTTTTGATATTGTTGGGATAGAAAGCAAGCCAGCGAAATTACATCTTAGCACAGTAGAGAGCAAAAGCTGAAGTGCTTAGTTATGAAAGATGGAAGCATGCAAAGAGAAAAGTTTTGGTTTACAATTATTACGTCATCAGAGTTGCGCGGGCCATAGAGTGATCTAGAAATGATGCAATGCAGAGAAGTTTGTAGGGTTTATATTTATTTTAACTAACATTTATTTTAAGTTTAAACTATCTTTCCTGTCAAGCCTTACTTTCCCCTGGAACTGCCAATGCCAGAATATGTAAATTTTAGTAGAACGCGCAAGGATTCAAATTATCAGCGGAAGTATTATGATTTAAATAGAAGGAAACGAGTTCGGAGGGTGATATTCTTACTTCACGAGCGCGGAGGTAATTTGCGAGAAATTGAAGAACCCAGCGTTTCGGCCTATGTGCTTGGCGGGAAGTAAATCGTTCAAGTGAGCTTCAAGTCTGCTGAATTAGCAGCGGTATTGTAAAACGCGGTGAGTTAGTTATTTTAGAGAGCCTCGTAGTTAGAGTCTTGTCTTTAAGTTCTTTTCAGATTATTATTTTTATTTGACTGCCAAGTTGGCACAGTCTGTGAGTGTCAAGAGCACGCAATTGTAATTTATTACGTTGAATAAAAAGGGACTTAAACCCTTTACAAGACTCTGTGTTTTATCCAGTTATCACAGTCACCCCTTGGTTGTGTGCAAGTTGGAGGCGCGCAACGTTACAAGTTATTACGATTTTAGAATAAAGAGGAAGAATTAATGTTTATAGTTATATTATAATTCTGATCCATATAATTTTATATATTATAATTCTGATTCATATAATTTTATCTTACATGTATATATATAATTTGTCTTAATTTTTCATTTTTAGGAACCTAAATCAGGATTTTAAAGCAATTTGGGGACAAATTTTTAAGATTCAAATTGTACAGTATCCCCTAAATCTCAGAATTGAGGTAAATGTTTACTTTTTAAAGATGTTTTTGTATATGAATATTTGTTATTAAAATAGTTGTTATCTTAAGATGTTGTATATTAACATATTGCAAACTCATTATGTCGTGATCTGAAACATAATGATGACTTAACATTATTGTTCCGGATCATTTTTTTTTTGGTAAATAAAGTGAATTTTAAGGATTTAAAGAAGAATTCAACATTACAATTGTACCTAATCATTCATATTTAATATTAAACTTCAATAAAATCTAAAAAGAAATCAATTAAAAATCTGTACCGTAGACTCCCAGTCAACCAAGATAATACTGAGTACAATGTGTATGGTTAAAACAAAGTCATAGGTAATCATCAGAAGGCAATTAAAAAGCACAGGAAAGCAGAGTAACTGATATTATTATTAATAGAAAACTTTGATTAAGAATTGACCTAAATTTTCAAGCAGCTCAATTGAGAATAATATTTGGCTGTAAAAATTAATTCATTATTCAAAGCAAAAAGATCATGCTATTTATAATGGAAGAAAAAATATCATTAGAAATGAAAGAACTAAGTTATAACTAGATTTAAAGAACGGTGCTGTTGTCTTGCCCTTTTAAGTATTTGAGAAAGATTTAATGATAAGAAACTGAAGTCACTAATTTTGAAATACCAGATTAATTAATGGCAGTACAATTGATTTATTTTTACAGCTGAGCAGTCAAGTTTAGTGAAGGATTAAACAATGTTTATGTATTCTGGAGTATGAACAGCTATGAATAAAAACAACTCTCAAATACTATAACATCATCTGTTATTACTGCTATTTTTCCATGCATTCTCTTTTTCTTTTTTATATTTTTATAATCAATTTTATCTATGCTGAGGGGTTTTTTTTAATGGTAATTTTTTCATCATTCCACGATAAACAATTATATATTTTATAGATAGAACTGAATTAATCCACAATTTGTTGAACCTGCCCCTGGTTAATTAGGAGTGTGCTGTATTTTAAAGTAACTGAATAATACTTTTTTTTTTAGTGTGCCTTTTTTTAAGCGTGAAATTTTAAGTTTTAAATATTAAGATTGCTGTTTAGTCTAGAATTTACACTGTAATCATTATATATATCGGCATCTCTAAAAATTCAGTTTAATATTAAAAAATTAAAGTAAAATATTGTATGATGAATAAGGTTGTTCAGATCTGAGACAAATCAAAATATTGTTGCTACAACTTTGTTGAAATTGATTAACATTTGGTTTATTATAATTCTGAATAACTACTAAATATCATCTGAAAATAAAGGTAAATTTTTGAAGTAAATTTCCAGATGTTATCATTCTTTTAAATGAACTTTATAAGTTGAGTTAATTACATAAAAAAATGTAGTTACCGTTTGCCTGAAAATGGATACTCTGATTAAGGGCTTTGAATTATGTATATTTGCATCATACAGCAAGAGAATAGTTCGAATGTCATTGTTATCATCCCATTTTACCTTTGACGTAAAATCATTGATGAAACTATATTTAGACTTTAGGCCATTGTTGAGCTCTTGAATTGGAACTTTAATAAAGAGATGTATGTGTACAGGATGTTTATAAACTGTTTCAACAAAATAAGAGAAATGATAGTATTTAATCTATAGCAATGAAACCTAAAGCCAAATTATACTCAGAGTATCAGAAAAGCATAATGTTAAATGCCCAAATTGAACTCTCAACAGCGTGTATGTATGGGGGAGATTATTATTTGCATATTCCTGAAATGTGTAACCCCCCATTTCTTGAAGTTGTTTCAGACAATGATATCATGGTGGTAATCTGAAGCATTGAGGATGTGACACTTTTAAACAATATTTGTTTCAATTAGCTTTCTATTGAACTTTGATGAACCAATCAGCTCCAACTTCTGGAGCTGCTTCTTTTCACTTAAAATTTGCATGGGCAAATGTTTGATGGTAATATTCTGGAGATGTCCTACATAGATCCACCCTAATCATTTGCAAAGATTTGGTGCCTCTGCATCAGAATGGTACGTGGGCCCCAGGAAGGCGTTGCTACTCTGAACAGCTAGTGTAAGGGGCCTGTACCTATTTACTCAGGGTAAATAACAGGTGGCCCCTGCACTTCTCCAGTGTCATGTGCTTTTTGTTGTTATTCAGTTTCTAAAATTTCCTGAAAAAATTTATATTTGATTGAAAGTGATATATTTAATGTCATATTCTTTTTACTTAATTTGTGTTTACATTTTGAGGATATGTGATGCTGCTTTCTAAAATTATATGTATTTTTTTTTTTTTTTTTTTTTTTTGTAAAATGTGTTGTATTCATGCTTTTTCATTTCATCTTTGTGAGCTGAAATAAGTTGTGCAGGTGCATACACAGTTAGAGAGCACAAGAATAAATTGAAATCTACTGAGAGGTTGTTTTTATATCAGATGCAGTAGTGAAATCTACAAGGTGCACCCATAAAGTAGTCAGACAAATTGAAAGACCAAATAATAAAAAAGTGAAAGAATAAATGCATGTTTAGGAAGAGTGGCAACGTAACTTTTCTTAAAGCCAGTTTAAACTGCTTATTTTTTTTTGTTTGCATATCAAAATGCCAGAGTCATTTTCATTTACTGAGAACACATTGTACAAGAAATTTGCTTAAAAATGGAACAATGTTACAACATTAAATTTTCTTATAGATAGGTAAATCTGCTACCAAAATGTTAGATATAATTCAATCAGTATATGATGATGTGTAATAGTCAAGAACACGGTATAGAGTCATTAGGTGAATTGGAAGCAGAAAAGATGAAAAATATGTAACCTCCTTCGCTGGGAATTGAACCACAGACCTCTGGAATACTGGCCCAGCGTGCTACCATTACACCACGAAGGCACGCTAGGGAAGGGGGAGAAATACCTTATATACTCCCCTTTTTAAAGGGTGACTAGGGTTTTAGGGGACCTAGTCACCAAATCCTGGGTGTGGAGAATCATCATCCACAACCTTTTTAGTTCGGGTGCCATTTGTAGAGTCATTAGGTTAATTGGAAGCAGAAAAGATGAAAAATATGCAACCGCCTTCGCCAGGAGTCGAACCACAGATCTCCGGAATACCGGCCCAGCGTGCTACCATTACACCACGAAGGCACACTAGGGAAGTGGGAATAATAGCTTATAACGGGTGTATGAGTTGTTGAAAAGCATTGAAGATGAACCAAAGGTCAGGTGCCCTTCAGCCTCAAAGAATAAGGAAAATATGGAGAAAATTCTTTCTTTGATAAAATCTGATAGACTCAGCAACTTGCTTGAGATAAGCAAAGAAAGGTGTAGATTAATTTAAATTGAAAATTTGAAAATGAGAAAAGTTTGTGCTTGATTTGTGTCACAGATTTTTACAGAAAATCTTGCTGTGAAGATTTACTGACTATTACAAGACAGGACAATTTCTTAAAGTGTGTAAAAATGGAAGTATATTTTTTAAAGCAGGAGATGAGACCTGATATCTACAATATGAACCCCGCCCTCCAAAAAAATAAGATGATGTGGACTGTCCTTTCTTGTCAAAAAAAGCATGGATGTCGAAATCAAAGGGGATACTGATTGCATTTTTTTAATACAAGAGGATGTATTCACATGAATTTTTCTTTTAAAAATAAATAATTTAATTAGTATTTTTACAAAGAGGTGCTTTTTCAGTTAAGAAACAGCATAAGGCAAATTACAAAGGATTTGTTGATTCTTGGCAATGCTTTCTTTCACACAATAATACTAGGGCCCATAGAGCATTGTCTGTATAATGATGTTTTGCTAAGCATTCAACTGCAGTGATAAATCACCCACCATATTCTCACAACTTATCGCCAGCTGTTTTTTACTTTTTCTGAAGCTTAAAAGGGCCATTAAAGGACAGAGATTTGAAAACATCTCTGATATCAGAACATATGTTATGCATATTTTGTGAGTGGTTATTTCCAACACACATGAACAATATTTTAATGACCTGAAGAAACACAGGAAAATTTGAATAGATTCCTCTGGCTATCCAAACTAAATATATTTTGAAGCAGATAAATTTATTTGAAGGTTAGTAACATTTTCTTATTTATAAGAAATTGTTCGGTTACTTTATGGTTGCACCTTATATTTGGTTAACATAACAATCCTTCTATAAGTTATTTTTATGATTTTTGTATCAAATTATTATTTCCTTAGATTCAATCTGAATTTAAATTGGTATTTAAGTAAAAATCATATTTTACTTAAAAAGGGGCATTTTCAAGTAAAATAATATATTGTTTTTTAATTTTATTTCTGAAAGCTAAGCTATTATTTCACAAAGAACTACAAATGTTTCTCTGCTTTCATTGTCATTTGTTGTACTTTTAGATTTTTGAGAGTGGGACTTTTTCTGGTAGCCACTTAGCAGAGTTATATATTCCTATTCCAGCTGCTTCTCAAACAGCTTTGAATGCAAAGCTTATTGATCATCAGTTTAGTTCAGATAAAGCAGTTCCACCAAAGTATAATGCAGTTGGAAGTGGTAAGAATTTAATTTGTATTTTACAAAATGGAATTATTAGATTGTGCTTTGTAATTAGTAGGGTTCCCACCCCTAGTATTGCATCTGAAGTTGTGAACAAATATGCTTTAATTTCGGGTCTTAATTATGTGATTATTTGTAGATTACGTATTCTTATGTTAAACTTATTACTTTTACTAGTTCTCTGATATGCTAAGACTTATTTAAATATGTAGCATATATGTACACCAGTTATAAAACTAAAAATCAGCTGAACAAATTCTTTTTTGTACAAAATGATATATAAAGTCAATTCTGTCAGAAATTAAAAATCTGTAGTGTAATAACATGTGTATATATTTGTTGCAAAAACTTTCATACGAAATTATTTTTTTAGAAATCTTATTAATCTAATATGTATTTGCATATAACTTGCTATACATTACTTGAATGAGAAATCAGTGATATACAAAAAGCAATAAAATATGAAATGTTGTGATCTATGCACTGTAAAGTTGAATGCTCATATATTTACTGCCCGCTCTACTCATGATCTACTCCAGGCTTTCTTAAACTTTTTTCAGTCATGACCCCTTTTTATCATTGAGCTTATTTTGTGACCTCAAGACCCCATAATACTATTTACTAAAATTTTGTGGGACACCATAAGCATTGCACAAATCTGACACATGCGTGTGTGAAACTGTCAGCTTTTTCACTTGTACTGTAATATATTATTGCAATTTTAGGTCATAAACTTTAATTTCTAATTTTAACACATATAACAATGTGAACATCTTAAATAAGTAACAGACGAAATGAGAGCGTCAGGTGCAAGCAAGTAAAATGAACGTTTATTATAAAAAGAATCCATCAAAACGTTTTCGCTTTTTCCTTGTCTGTATTGTCTTATCTTTATCTATTTTCAAATAGATTGTGTAAAACTATTTGGTAATTGTAAAATTATTATAATAACTTTAAGAAATATCCAGAACTGTTAAAACTTTTGGCAACCCACTGCTGCCGGTCCCGAGGCCTCTATGGGGGTCACGACCCACAGTTTAAGAAATTTTGATCTACTCTAATAACAATATTAAAGTAGATCATAAAATTTTCTTTATGGGAGTAAATAATTATAAGTATTTAAGGAAAGAAAGCTAGGAGTTTAGTGGCAAGAAAGGAGAAAGAGTACATGACATTCAGATTCTATTTCCTGGGTTGTGCTTCGTCAAAACTAACTTAGGCAGATAATCCTCATGTGCTTTGCCTAAATTAAATAATTTAATTAAGTCATTATTTACTGTTTAATTAGAAAACTTTATTTTATGTTCTCTTTTTGATGCAGCTATCATTTCAACTAGATAAGGGGTCTTCAACCTTTCACGCCCGAGGGCCACATCAATAAATTCACAAAGATTCACGAGCCACATGCCTTTCAAAAAAATAATATAGAAATATATATATAAAAAAGGGAGGTTTCTTTTGCAAGACTACAATTGATTCTAAGCAAAGAGATAGTGTTACAGATTTGTATATGTATACATTGGTTCCAAAAAGTCAATCCAAAAGTCGGAAATCGAATTAAGATGTTTTGTAACTTTTTTTTAACTATGAAAAAAAAAAAAGTATAAATATGAATGTACAGAACAATATTACAAAATGCATAAAAAAAAAAAAAAAAAAAACTTGCGTTATTGGCGTGAGATGGTAGTTACTTTGGTTTCAATGTGAGATTTGACATTGTTTTTGCTTGATTTTACTGCAGAGTCACAGTGTAACTCTATAAATTATAATAATAAAAATCTAAAATATATAACACATATTACATAAGATAAAGTGAAATTTTTGAAAAATTCTTTATTTTCAGAAAATTTTATCCCAAATAATAACAGGCATGTCAATAAAATGTTTTAAATATCAAGAATAAGAGGGAAAAAAGTTATTTTTTACGACAAAAAGCTGATAAGGCAATTTTTCTTGAAATCAAAATTTCTTTAAAATGTTTCAATTTTTCTTCAAATTCAAATGTGGGGGGCCACTAAAATACCTCCAGTGGGCCACGGGTTGAAGACTCCTAAACTAGATCATACTATCATTCTATTTATTTTTTATGCATCTATACTATTTTCTAGTTAAATATTTAATTCAGTTGATGTTTATTATTTTATTTATCAACACAAATTTTTAACTTTTTTCTTCATAGCATTTGTTTAGTTAATGTATAAATATTTTATGAAATGAATATATATTATTGCTTTCTCAAGATTTATGAATGAGCTACTGAATGAACATCTTAGAAAGTAGGAAAATCTAACTATTGTGGAAACGTATTCCCTGGACACATACATCAAAGACATCATATCATCATACGTGTATATCATAACAGCATACATCAAAGATATCTTTATTATTGTCAAAGGTATCACTACAGAATTTTTCAGAAACAGGGATAAATTTCATATCATTCATCAAAAATACTGTCCCAAATCACTCGTTTTGAATGAGTGAAATTTAAAAGTGATTTTAAAATCAGTACACTACTTGTGCTGAACCACTAATTCTGTGCAAGGAAGATTTGCATGCTTTTATTGAATCTATTGGGTATCCTCTAATCATTATAAACCCTTATGAAAGGTAATAGCAGTGGAGAAAATCCAGAAATCTGCAATTCCTGGCTGATAGAGGCAGTATTAAGTAGATGTTAAACATTAAGCACTTTGTGGAAGTCTATCATTTAGTGATATTTTCCAAAGATGTCATTAAGTGTTTTCTCCCAAGGCAGTTACAAATTATTGTGCCTCTAATCTTGGTATAGGTAACTACTTATTTAAAATTGGTACATGAACTACAGCATGGCTCAATGATTATATACATATATATATATATGTAAGCATATAAAGCATTAACATTTAAAATATTTATATTATGTTACTGTGATGTAAAGCAATATTTACTTATGATTAAAGGAGTCTCAGTCGTTCAAACACAGTTTAGAAGCACCTCAGATGTGTGTGTGCAAGTATAATTAAATTAAGTGTGCTTACCTATGATTGTATTCCAATTAAATTTTTTAAGAAGTTTTTATTCTCAGTAAAATTATGACTTAACTAATTTAAAGAATCAATTATTTTTATGAATTTATCATGAATTTAATTGTTACTTAAGCATTCAAGAACATGTTAAACTTAGTAAGTATTAATACTTTTTAAAGGTGTTTCATACAAATATGAAAATGGAAATGAAATGGTTTTATTAACCAATGGCATTTTGAAGTGTTCTCTAGTCTGGGGAGTTTCTGAAGATGGAACAGTCTTAGTACCTCCAAAAATTGAACTGTTGCCAAGGTGAGAGATTCTCGTATTTAAAGTAATATAAGTTTTTTTATTAGCAGTAAATGATTCCATGACAAACTTTGCAGAATTCATCTGTTAAGGAAATGGTTTTTTTAAATTCCAAAATAATTATAGAATTATACAGATTAAAGTTTACGTATGGATCTTCAATTTCTGCCTGCAATAAATATTTTGAGAGGGGGGATGCTTTTTAAAAAATGCGATAAAAATAGCAGATGGAAAGAATAAGGCATATTTCTTTTTTGTGTTTCTAGAGTATTAAGGTTTTCATGTTATTGGGAGGTTATTATGTGACACTAATATTTTTTAATTAATAAATTAGTATTTGTGTCATACATATGAAGTATCTGGCATTTTTAATTCAAAGAATGTGCATTCTGATCTATTTCAACTGAAAAAGAAAAAAGGAATCAGATAGGGGGTGAGAAGAAATGCTGTTCAATAATTCTCTTTCAAATTGCATTTGAATTTTAGTTTATGTATTACCTCTTTTTTATGTTGCATGAATTTGCCTATCGGATTGCTTCTATTTAAAAAGGTGCTGTAGTTTTAATACTGTTGCAATTTGGGGGGAAAAAAAAAGTGCAGATAAATGTTTTATATTTTTAGACACTTTTTGCTTAGTTGTAATTGTGATACTTCTGATATAATTTTTCTGTGTAAAAGCTGCATATTTTAATGAAACAGTTTAAAACAGTGCATTTTACATTTATTTTATTTTGGTATAAGATACAGTTGGATTCTTTTTATCTAATATCAAGGAAATATCTTTTGGATAACTCCCTTTTTTACTTCCTTGTACAAAGTAAAGGAAGTAACTCACGAAAAACTCCGGGTATCATATTTCAACAAAAATATTCATTTTGACAGCTATCGAATGCAATTTAACAGTGTTTTTGTATGACATCTGCATGTAAGAATAGAATAAAGGACTCTTTTCCCCCAAACGAATTATAAAACTGATTAAAAGTGGATTCAGAAGAGATTTTTTATGGTGTCATTACCTGTATGTACCTACATATGTATGTATCTCGCATAATTCAAAAATGAGTAGCCTCAGAATGTTGAAATTTTGTATATAGGACTGCTATAATATGTAGTTGTGCATCTTCCTTTTTGGTTGCAATCGGCTGCATTACTTTTACAAATTAAAAGGGGTGATAGTACTCATCCAGATGAGCAATAACTAGAGCATAGGGTCACATTCCTGTTTGAGAGGCAGAAAAAAAGAATATTAGAATTCCAATCTGAACTTACAACAGCGTTGGGAGAGCGAATGAATGAGACCAATTGTTGCCTAATCAATTTAGTGACAAACACACAGAGAGTGCACAAAACGGATAAAACTGGAAACTTGGCGTTCGAGTGTTAATTCGAGCTCAGACTTTGATGGCTAACACTCAAATGCAAATATTTAGTTGGCAAGGTATCAACCTCACAAATAATTGCAACAAGTTAATTATCTAAATTATTAGGGGGGAAAACTGCCTTTATCAAGTATAAGTAGCAATTGTTTTTCTCTTAGCCATCTTCTATCCCATCTTCCTGGACTTACTCTGCTGCGCCCATTCTACTTGAAACGCCCATCTATGGAATACAAAGTTCTGATGGCCGGAATGCAGCATGAGCTTTTCATGCTAATCTCTGCATGCAACGGATGTTGGAGTTAGTTGATAGTATTCAGCCTTTGATTACATAATTAACTTGTAATCGTGTGCGAGGTTGAGACCTTGCCAACAAAAGATGTGCATTTGAGCGTTGGCCATCAAAGTCTGAGCTCAAGTTAACACTCAAAAGCCAAGTTTTTGGTTTTATCCATTTTGTGCACTCTCTATGAGTTCGTCACTAAAATGATTGTGCAATATATGGTCTCGTTCATTCGCTTTCCCAAAACTGTTCAGATTGGAATTCTAATATTATTCTTTTCTGCCTCTCAGAGTAGAATGCGACCCTATGTTCTATGGTAATTATTGCTCATCCGGATGAGTACTATCACCTTTCTTAATTTGTAAAAGTAATTTAGAATCACCCTGTATACCCACTCTGTTACTCGGCTCCACGAGCTCAGTTTTTTTCTTATATGTTGGTTAATTACGCATTTTTTGCCTTGAAAAATTATTAAATTATGTTGTTCTTAAGTTCCGCTTAAGGTTTTATGCCTTTAGTTAATCTGCTTGCAATAGTTGTAGAATTATCAACAGTTTACAAATTGTTTAAGTGCGGCTAAGCCTAATTTTTGTTTACCATAGCAGTTATATTTGTTTACATTTGAAACTTAGCAGAATAGTGAATTCACTTTTTGCACCTTCAGTGACTTTTTGCTGAGTGGGGCGAAAAGTAAACTTTCATTTTTGTGCACTGAAAAATCTGCCTTGTTGCCCCCTGACTGAATTGCTTGTTTTTGCATAGAAACTCTAATTTTGATTGTAAAAATTGTTTTTTTAATTGAATTTACTGTATTTAGTGTTTAATTTTTTTCTATATTTTTCAATTTTTAATGAAGATATTTTGTGGTTTTATGTATATTTACCTTATTGTGAACTGAGAACAGAATTAATTAAATGAGAAATATAACTCTAATGAAATGTGAGGAAATAAGTTTTAAGTGAAATACAGGAAAAAATGCGTATAATTTAATATTATTTATGAAGTCATATCCTGTACACATAAGAGTTTTTTAATAAATGGAACTGTTTTTCACAATTAAAAATAGAAAATATCTATTACAAGTATCTATTACAAGTATATTACCAAGCAAAAGCATATTTTTTTTTCATTATGTTACTTATTTTTTACATAAAAATATAACAAACTTTTAAGAAATGAAGCTTACGCAGCGCCTATCAAGGAACACTCCAAGTAACAACGTTTTTAGCTTGACTCGTTGTTGCCACACGGCAAATCTTAATAACTATTCAAAACATTACATCATGTTGCCACTTAGAAAGTCTTAATAATTATATAGAAACATTAAATTATGCTCCACTACATTACTCCCCCTCCAGTAACTGTGTTACGATTTAAGAGATTCTGGTTGTGGAGTAATGTAGCGTAAGCTAACATTAGAATTAAAAATACTAAATACAAGAAATAAATACAATTAAACATATTCAATAATAGAGGTTAGGAAAAATATTCAACATTGTTACTAAAATGTAAAGGACGTTTTATTAGTTGTCCAGTTCGTGAGACTCGAGATCATTCATCATTGGTCTCAGATTTTAACAAAGTCTGAGTTTTGGGCTGGGTGTCAGAAGTTTCTGGTTTCAGCCTTTGCTCACCTGATATTAAACAATAAGCTGGCTTCAGCCTGTCAATCAAGATGTTTACTTCCATTATCCAATGTTACGGTCACCAATCTTTTAATGTGGATTTGATGAATAAGCGAAATCGAAACTGATCAGCCAGAGCATTTCATAAGTGAAATAAAGGCTTTTATTGGTCTTAAAAGAAGCAGCATATTTATTTTTACAATTTCCATTTTTGTTTGCAACATATTACTTATTTTTTACATAAAAATAACGCAGCGCTTATCAAGGAACACTCCAAGTAACGACGTTTTTAGCTCGACTCGTTGTTGCCACATGGCGAATCTTAATAACTGTTCAAAACATCATGTTGCCACTTAGGAAGTCCTAATAATTATGTAGAAACATTAAATTATGTTCCACTACAGTACTATGGTAAAAATTTCTCATTTAAAATATGCTGTATTTAAATAAAATGTATTTAAGGAAACATTCTTATTTTTGATATTTGTTTTTGCTGTGACTTATCTCACTTGATTGATAATAATGACAGAAACAAGTCCACAAATTTTATCGTGCAGGATTGTGTTTGTCATTGGCATGGCTCTTGTGCACTTTATAGGTGACAATATGACTTTGGCGAGCTGTGTCCCAACTTCTGGGACAGATCGAAAAGTCTGCTATTCCTCTTTCCTTACTAAGAAACCTCTCAAGAGGACTTTCAGCTGGCTGTGTATTTTAAGAGCTGCATGCCAAAAAAGCACTGAAAACTTACAAACAGCTAATCCTTCTGTGTGATATAAACCTGGGCCCAGCAATACAAGCTGGCAACACTGAACTGGGTGGCACTTCTAATACTTTTAGTTATTTAATTGATTCAAGTCTTCACTTTCAAAACACCTTTCATAGAAAGTTGTCAACATCATTGGTCACTCATTAATAATTTTCTGCTTGTGGAGAAGGTAAAAATTACGATGTTTTTAAGTCATTTTTATTATTGTTTCAAAATCTTTGTATTTTTTTTTTTTTTTTTTTTTTTTTTTTTTTTTTTTTTTTTTGTTTTTTTTTTTTTTTTTTTTTTTTTTTTTTCATTTTGGGTAATTAGCAGTATTTAGGTAACTTTTAGTACGATGCAGATTTTGATTGAAATAATCTGTAAATGAATGTAAATACCTGAAATCATTTCCTGAGTATAAATTTATTTAATTGTTCATTATTTTGGTTTGTGATGTATTGAGATCACTTGTTTTTATTGCAAAAATATGTATTTATAGCTAAAGAATGAAATGACAAAATAAGGTTAGTTATCAGATGGAAAATTTGTCACTTCCAGTCTTTTTTTATTGTGCAGGATTATCGTTATGTTGTTTGAATGTGTCAAAGTACAAGAAGACTCTCTGCCAAAGGGAAGAAATGTCACATTTTGGAGGGTTTCCTGGGGGGAACTGTCTTGTATTCATGTTACACACAGGGAAACTACAAAAACCAACTTTGCAGCTAGCCTGTTTATCTGAGAAAAACTTAGTAGTAGTATCCAACAGTTTTGACCACTTGGTCACTGGTGGGGTTAATGGAGTTATGCACTCATGGACTGAATGTTAATTTTTTTCACCATTTTAGTTAAACAGCATGTTACTTTTGTCTGTTTTAGTAATTTTTTTAAAATTAATTGTTAAATTCAGAAATATTACTTATTAGTTTAGAGACTTTTCATTTCAGGGTGTTGAGCATCATATATTTCTAAAAATACAAATCTGCATTTTGAGATATTTTGGCTTTTACCATTTTTCTCATATACACTCTTAGACAAAAAAAAAAAAAAAAAAAAAAAAAAAAACGATGCACTGTGACTCCGAGAAGATATAAAGCAAATTGGACACAAATTGATATGCATACAGGTTTCGACGGAAAATGCAAAATTTTAAATTTTGGTTGCCAATGAATGAACGGCTGTCGCTACAGCACATCTAATCTGAACAACTGGCATGGTGTTTAAGAGGAACAGGTCAAAAATTCTTCACGAATTTCATTCCATGTACTCTGGTAGACAGTAACTATGCCTCACATACAGGTGTGCGAACGATATGCGCAGATGTCAGAATTTGAGAGAGATTGTGTAGTTGGGCTTATTGTGTAGTTGGTCTTATAGGCGAATAGTTGGACATTTGAGCAGGAGCGATGCCACTATTGGATGATGTTGGCAGGAACGGGTGAACCATTGCCGCACACAGCGTCAAGAAGGAAGCGGTAGGCTTAGAGAAACGACAGAACGTGAAGCCCGAGCAATCGTCAGAGTAGCACTCACAGCCCCAGATGCATCATTATCCTCGATTGTACGTGCAACTAGTGCTTCAGTGAGCCAAGGAGCATTCATAGACGGCTCACAGAAAGGGGTCTGAGGTCATGACGCTCCTTGCGCTGACTACCATTGACCTCTGTACAACGTCAAGCCCGTTTGCAGTGGTGTCGGGCTCATTCACACTCGAATGTCACTGACTGGAGTAAAATAATTTTCATCAATGAGTCCTGCTTTGAACTGAGCCCCGAGTCTAAAGATGCCCCCGACAGCGGTGTGATACCAACCTGTCTTTCAGCAGACAGCAGCAGACCCGACAGACATTAAATGAAATGGCACCCCAGACCATCACTCCTGGTTGTCAGCCTGTCTTTCAGCAGACAGGCTGACAACCAGGAGTGATGGTCTGGGGTGCCATTTCATTTAATAGTAGAACCCTTTTGGTTGTCATCTGTCACAGCCTTACAGAACAGCAGTACGTCGATGAAGTTATAAGGCCTGTTGTGTTGCCCTTCATGTCACGCCACCCTGGACTTACATTTCAGCAAGATAATGCCCACTCCCACACTGCACATGTTTCTACTGCTTGCCTTAGTGCTTGCCGAACATTTCCTTGGCCAGTAAGGTCACCGGATCTATCTCATATTGAGCACTTTTGGAGCATTATGGGCAGGACCCTCCAACCAGCTTGGGATGTTGATGATCTAACGTGCCAGTTGGACAGAATTTGGCATGACATCCCTGAGGAGGACATCCGCAACCTCTATCAATCGATGCCGAATAACTTCTTGCATAAGAGCCAGAGGTGGACAAACGCGTTACTGACTTTTTCACTTTATGAAGCTCTATCACCTTCAATAAATCATCCAATTTTTCTCAAACTGTAATCATTTGATTTTCTGTACATGTACCGATTTATCTTCTACCAATTTTCGTCCCATTCGGATAACTCCTTCTTGGTGCGTTGTCTTTTTTTTTGTCTAAGAGTGTACTTTTCTTCATGTCTCTCAAAATTTAATAACATTTTGTATATATTAGAATAATTCATATGTATTCAGCTGAAAACAATAAAGAGAATGAGTTATATTTCAGAAACTGGAAGTAATCATCATTTCCTAGGCTGCCTTTATTTTGTCCAATTGTACTTATACAATTTAATTGCTTTGCTGCCATCCCATTAATCTATACATGTTATATAGTACAGTACAAAGTCTGTAATCCGGACATCAATTATCCGGAATGATCAATAATCCGGACCTCAAAGCCACAAACTTTTTTTTTCTGTATGCTTTATGCATGCACGTTTAATGTTTTCTGTATGCTTTACGCATGCACGTTTAATGCGTGTTTAGCACAAAAAACGAAGCAACTTAAGCAACTTACATTGAAAGAAATGTTTAATAAAGTAAATAAATAAATATTAAGCCCTTTTTTTTTGTAAATTTTGATACCCTTTTTTTGAATTGCCCCTTTATTTGATATATAATGCTCTTTATTTCATAAATTACGGTTTCATATTTTTAATTGTATAATTTCTGCATGCCATCTTACCAGATTTAAATTGATGATCTATAATCTGGAAAAACCCTTAATCCGGAATCGCTGCAGTCCCGACGAGTCCGGATTACGAACTTTGTACTCTACTATTTTTCTTTTCTTTAATATTTCTTGTGAATTAGGACAAAATGTCAGTGTTATTTATTTTCATATCGAAGAGAGACCACGTTTATATATGGTAGACCATGTTTATATATGGTACATGAAAATTTTATGTGTGATATTTATTATTATCCATAATTTCAAATATCAGTCATAAATTTTGAAATTTCTGATTGACAGATGTAATTTCATTCTGAAAGACTAGTAAGATATGTAGTTATATTGAAAAGTAAAAATTTTAATCTGTTACTGAAAAATGTAAAAAAAGTATTGTATTATTATTTATAAATATGGAACATTTTATATTTATTTATTTATTAAATTATTAAAGTTTACGGTAGTTCTTTCTACATTATCAAGCATAATGTTTTAGCCTAAACTCTCTTTCTTTAATTTCTGTTCCATTTAAGGGATGCGGGGAGAATGACTTCTTTTTCCTATCTAACATCTCTAAGGTTCTCTAACATAGAAAAGTTACACCAGTGGATTAAAAATTCAAATTTGGATCCTCATAATCCTGAAAATGCTGCTTTATTTCATTTATTCCAAGTAAGATTTATCTTAAGTTATCTGAATTTGTTTTTCATTATTCAGAAAATGAATTATCAGATAATTTTGTCTGAAAGATAGAAAAAATTTTGCATGTCATTTTTTTAATTAAAAAGTGCATTTCCTAAAATTTATGATATTGTTGATAATATTTATCTCTATAGGAATCAAAGAACTCTCTGAAGGGCTTATTGAAATTTGTAGTTTGGCTCATAAGAAAAGTTTCTGAAATTGATGTGCACACACACACGAACACACACAGTGACATATACATCTAAGCAAAAACATTACATTCAATCTTACAAGTGACTGATCATAGATGCTTTGAGTCATATTTATCAAGTGTTTCTGAAAACGAAAGATTCACAATTAGTCATAGCGACTTATAATACTGTGAGGAAGTAAACACCACAAACTGCCAACAGGATGTCAACAGTCAAGGTCAGTGATCAACATGAGAAAAATTAATGAAAGTTAATGTTCTTTTCAGAAATTTACAAATGACATAAATTACAAAACTTATTCGTTGTTAGAATGACATGCTATGAAATAAAGTGCATTTAGCCCTTCTTGTATGAGACAGAATTATTGTGAAAAAATTAGAGTGCTCATGGCCAATTCCTATTCATCTTCAAAAGTGTACAGTAAGCGTGTGTGGGCAAGAGCTGTTGACTCAACAGGAAAAGGTCATCTTGACAAATTCTTTTTCCCCCTCTTGGTAATATCCGTGTAATTAGATACATATTCATTACTTACATGTAAAAGAAAGGGCACCATGTCATTTCTGGAAGAATGCCAAGTTAAAGTGTGAAGTTTTATTATATGAATATATATATTTCATGCACTTATAGGAAATTATATGGAAGGCACATAAAAAAGGGCAGTTCTATACATCTTACTTTTGTTAACTGTTCAATAAAATCCAAATTCCATTTTGTCATGTCTCAAAGGAAGGACTTTAGCTACTGTTTTTTTTTTTTTTTTTTTTTTTTTTTTTTTTGTTTTGTTTTGAAATTTTTGTCATGGGCTTTTTTCTTCATCTGTGGCTCTGGGTGTAAAGCACCATAAATGGAGAGATGAATGACATATCATTTTTCTAGGTAAATCACATTTCTGACTGCAGCACCTGTCATCTTCAGTCAGTCTGCTAATGGACTGAATCTTGCATCGTGCATTGTCACCTGTTACTGTGTTGTCCTGCACCTGTTACTGTGTAAAGTGATTTTGGATTCCAGCTCCATTTATGCCTAGTACCATTTTCATCTTCAGAATCCAACTTGGGGGCCAGCTACCAATAAGTCAATGCATGCCTTCTATCATATGCAATATTTTGTTAATTACTGAATGATCAACATGTTTTCTTCTTTAGCCCATGCTATCACTGATATATTGTTTATATCTGAAGTTATAACAGATCTGCAACTGTATGCTGTTACTGGATTTTTCCTGAATGACATGAATACTTTTAATCCATGGGGCCAGCTACCAATAAGTCAATGCATGCCTTCTATCATATGCAATATTTTGTTAATTACTGAATGAAAACATGTTTTCTTCTTTAGCCCATGCTATCACTGATATATTGTTTATATCTGAAGTTATAACAGATCTGCAACTGTATGCTGTTACTGGATTTTTCCTGAATGACATGAATACTTTTAATCCATCACTGCTCAAAGGCAGCAGTGCCAACCCATTGGGGTGCAAAATGAACTTCAGAAATGTAGAAACCAGATAAACTGATGTACTCCAAACATGCATCCAATATCTTTCTGTATATTATCAGTTCTCGCCATTTATTGTGGCTAACATAGATATAAACTCCTTTGTTTTTGCAAATTGTAATCATCAGTTAATATCATGAGTTTATCTGTATAATAAGTATGATTTCTATGGCTCTTGTGTTTTATACCACTGCTTTTTTCTAACCACCTGTGTGTGTATGTTTGTAAGTATTAAAAGGTTTACTGTCTGTGTGAGAAAGTCAGTATCAAATTTAGCTATTTCATTTTGCATAAATTCTAAGAATTTGTGGGTTAAAAACAATTTTTAGCTTTGTTATATCATTCATTTTGTAGTTCAGACACATTGCTATCCTGTTACAGTATTCTATGGCACTAATTCCCTGAACAGACACTCCTCTTTTATATATTTTTTAATTTCATAGTATTAAGTTTTTTCTGTTCCAAAATGAATATGAATTTATTTATTTCTGACATATATGTGTATATATTTCTTTATTTTCTTAACATGTTTCCTAACACAGTCATGTATTCGTATGTATTTCTACATTGTAATGATAAGAAGTATTTTATCTTACTGAAAGTTATTTTCAGGATTTAGGACTAGATGAAGATAGTGCTGAGGGAAATTCTGATGTTTATAATTCAGAACCATTGTTAGGAGAGTTTGATTTTTGTTCCATGGAAGAAATTGAAAATAACAAGCGTTTCAAACTCCTACAGCTAAGAAATCATGATATTTCTCAATTTCGTAACTTAAGAATGATTCCTGCTGATGAGAAGGACCTGAAAGATGACATGATTAAGGTTTCAAAATCCTTTTATTTCTACTGCAATATTTATTGATTTTAGGCTAGAATTATGATGAGTTTTAAATTATATAAAAGAATAAGAGTTTATAATTACAATCGATATCCAATTTTTTAATTAATGGAATCTGAAATATATTTTCAGTTTATGGTACTACATAAGTTTCTTTAATATTAATTAAATTATTAATTTTTTATAAATATTTTTTAAATTTCCAAATTATGGTATTATAGTGTCGCAGATATAATCTTCAACAGCTTGGAAAACTTTAAATAAGCTAAAGGTGATATAAATATTTTTTAAGTTTGTTAACCAAACAAAGCATGTTTAATTAGATAAAAACTCAAATTATTTTGTTTTATTAAGTGTTTTTAAAACTGAAATATTTTTATGAGAAAATAACACTGATCAACAAAGATTTAATCTTGGAATAATTAATTTTCTATGTATTCATGTCCTCTAATTCAAATATGTATTCAAACTTTTGTTGTCACACTTATCTTTTGAATAACATTACTTGATAATACAAATATGCTTCCCAAGATGAGCAGTTATATTAAAGTTTCATTGTTTCATCTTCATTGTTTCTGTAAGATGCCAGTATAGAAAAGATGAGAATTTTCAAATTAAACTAAGACACCAGGGTATTCCATGTAGGCTTTTCCTTAAACAATTAGGAAATTATTTCTGGATTAAAAGTTTGATTATTAATTGATTGCAACTGAAAAACTACATGACAGCTTTACAGGAATGTTTACAAAAATTTCCTGGGGAATCTGAGAAGTAGCAAAAGTAGTGGATGATCTATTGAAACCATCTACTACTTTTACTTACTGCTATGAACTACAATATACTTAGAAAATTTCACTTTTTATTGTATTACCTAGATTTCGTCCATTTGAATCTTGAAGCTATAAATAAAGATAAACATAGTGAATACTTTTATTATAAAATTTCTGACACCAAGAACGGGTAATGTCTGTAGGAGACCTGTAGTTTTTTTTTCACGTGTAATGTAACTACTTTTCTTAGAATTTTTCTTAAAAATTGAAGCTAATTTTTCTTAGAAAACTGTCAGTAAAGGCATCCTTCCCTCAGGCAGATATCACACATATGCTGTGTCTTAAATAATTAATTAACCAATCAGCTTTCTGAGTCTAAGGTATAGATTTCTTTTGCTAGCATTAGCTGAATTTTCAAGTGAGGTGTTTCTTAGTCTAAGGGCATCATAAAGTTATACAATTTCCTCTTTTATATGATTTCCTTTCTCATATTTCTATAATTTGTCAAATTTGCCATGAAAATTTGTTGCATGACGGGAGAATTATGAATACATATTTGATTTCAGCAGCAAAAGTATAATTAGATTTACTATCATGACACTGTTAAATGAAAGCACTGCTCATCTTGACACTGTTAAAAGAAAGAAAGCAGCATAATTGGATAGATTGGGAAATGTGTAAGGAAAATAAACACGCTAATTAATTTCCAGTGTGCATATATTAATAGAGTACTTGTAATATGTGCATTTTCATTAAATCTTTTTGTGACCAGTGATGTTCTATCCAAACATCAGAAAGAAACAGAATAATAATAATAATAATAATAATAGTAATAATAATAATAATAATAATAATGAGTATTATTTGTAAATGTACTTCTACAAATACAAAACATACATTATTTCATATATGCACATGATTTCAAGACTTAATAATTAATGTGTAATTATTTTAAATTATTAGGAAAAATATAAGGTAAAAACAGTATGTTGTTGTTTCAATTTAAATGGAGAAGAAGCATTTATTTTAATTGAACTTGATTAAAGTATTATTATTTGCTATTTTAATTAAATCATATAAAATACTAGTGATGAGTTCTACTTGAAACTATAATATCATCTAAATTAGATGCTAATATAATGAGTAGCTTGATCTGAAACAGGTTCTAATCCACATTAAGAGGTAACAAAGTAAGCTGTAGATTGATATTTAAGTTTTATAAACATTTAATTTTATGTTAAATTTCTTTAGTATGTGCTTATTCTTGTCATGATACTTGCTCAGAGCAGAGGTTTATGCAAGTTTTACAGCAAGCAGGATAGTCTAATGCATAATAATATAATCTTAGCTAGTAGCTTAGTGGAATTTGATTTGCAGAACTGCAGCTTGCTGCCACTTTCAGACTAGTAGCTTATAATTGACGAAGTTTTCACAAAGTTTGCTAAGTTTTAGGAAGTTAGGTAGATCTTTCTCTGTGTATTACAAACCTAAGGTAGTTTCTCTTGTTATAGTTATGTTTTAGCATTAGTGTATCAGCAAGTAGCTATTGTGAACTGTCAACCAGAAGCGGCTTAGTTTAGTTATTCCTATTGGTTTGTATCATCCTCAAGTCAGGGGGGGGGATTTGTTTTAGGTTTTAGTTTTTAGTTAGTTTTACTTTGAGTCTAAACGTGTCTGTTAATAATTAAACAATAGCAGAAACAACAATCTGTTAGACATAACTGTTTATTCTAATGCCAGCCATAAATTTGGGAACAAGGAATTCCCAATCAGTTTTAAAACTTTAGAAATTATAATATTGTTATGAAATGTTCTGGAGCGGTAAGATGGCTTCCCCATGAAGCAGTTTTAGGGTTGCCATAAAAGAGCAAGGAAGGCAGGGTTGTCACATTTGGTGAGAAATCATCCATTTGGCGACAAAATTGGTGATATGCCATGGACGGATGGAGAACCTTCTGAAACGAATTCTTACTGGTTTAGCCCAGAATGTTCGAACACAAGCCGAAAGATATATAAACCCTGCTGGTCCGCAGTGCAAGTTAGTGTGTCTCATGTAGTTAGTCCGTGCGGAGACGATCGAGTTGACAGCCGGCTAGCGAGTGCCGAGTGGGTCGTCGAGTGCATCGAAGTGTCACTTAGTGTATTGTGGTTCCTGCTTTGTCAAGAGAGTGTGTTAAGCTCTGGGAACGACTGAACCAAAGAGTCGAGAGCTGTGCTCTGTGTGTCATCGAGTGCATTGCGAGTTGTAGTGTGAAGAGTCTCGAGAGTACGTGGAGTTCCGAGAACGACCGAGAAAAGTTGTAAACTCTACTCAGGTGCTTTGCAGTGAAGCTGTCTCCACCGTTATTGCCTGACAGTGTGAAGGCTGTGTCGCTGAACGCGTCAGCGTGTTTATAACAGTTTGATAACTGTAAAATGGATTTTGGAGCTGTCCTGATTAATTATTGGTAAATAAAGTGTATTTCAATATTCCATCAAGTGCTGTCATCGTTATTCACTCCAAATCCATATGAACCCCATACGAATGTGAAGAAAATAATGTAACAATATGAATAAATTAAAGTTAGCCAGCTAGATTGAAAAACAAAGGATAAGGGAAGCAGAAACCAGTAAATGGATAAATGAATGAAGAAATCACCAGACAATTGAACCATTGGGACAACGAAGTACTTTTCAGTTCATAAAGGAATCCTACAAATTAATCTCACAAGCTGCAGCCATATCACTAGCAAAAATAGCAATAAGGTAATGATGTTGCTTTCAAAATTTCTATCTGCTTGATGCCAAAATTGTTCAAATTTAATATACAAATGATAAGTTCTAATAAGCTAGTTATATTTTTGTAATGACACACACACACCTTCATATATGCTTTTGCGCCTAATTTGACTACTAAAACTTTACTCAGTTACATTAAAAAATTTACTTGATTTTTTACTTTTCTGTACGGCAAATGGTTAAAGACTTTTGAAATGAAGCACTTGTATTTCAAATTTAAGGCACAGAGAAGTGTTCTTATTTTTATTTTATTCTCAATTATACCCTTTTCTTCTTTTAAATATGAGGATTTTATGATTCTATAACCAGCTTACATTTTCAATTTTTAAAATTTGAGGTTACTTTCTTTTCAAGAATAGATTTATGATTTTTAATTTTGTAAAAGTAATGCAAAAAGTGACATTTTTGAACCTGTAAATCAATAAGAAGCATTTCCTGAAAAGTGGCTAGAATAAACTTGCCTTATTTTCAATGAAATACTTCAGGTTAACATTTTGATTTAAAAGAAGTAAGAGTTAAAGAAAATGTGTTAACTGTGTAGATATTTTATTGTTATATATTTTTCATCAGTTAAGGGCAAGTTTAGATAGTAAATTATGCTTGTCTCACTTTCAGAAATGTCTTAAATTCGTATACATATGTATAAAATATTAAGCTATTCATATTTGCTAATATATTGTGTTTTATATTAAGGCTTTATACCAGAAACCTGAAGATGATGAGAGAAAAAATGAGGTAGAAAAGGCTCCTCAGAGAGAAAAGGCAAAAATGCTCATGCAGAAAGTTAGTTTTTATTTGCTGTTAAATTAGTACCATGTAAATATTAATTTTTATCGTAATTGTTTAATTTTTAAATATAAATGATTATGCATGTTAATATTACTTTAAAAAATGCAAGATTAACTTAATCTTTGAAAAATTTAATGTTTGACAATATTTATAAGCACCTGTCCGTTAATGTTAAAAGAATAGCAAATGGAATATTACATAGTTAACTTACTGAAGGTAATAATAATGGTGTTACTCTTATGTAATTTAGTATTAATAGAAAATTACTTTCATATTAAAATGTTTAGAAAGATTGTCTCCTTAAACTTCATGAGTTTTAAATTAGGTATGTCTTGCTTGCGTGGATGCTATGCTTAAACTACTATCAGTTATACTCAACATAAGACCTATTTTTCAAACACTTTATATTATTGATTGCATTAGATCTTTTAAACATTAAATCTTGATAATAAATTTTACTTAACAATTGATTCATTTGCTTATTTTTGAAAATATATATAAGAATTTTTATTTATTAGCTGCTATTACATTATCATAGTAAACATATTCTAGGTCAAAGGTGGAGAACCTTTTTATCATGAGAACTAAAAACTAAACTCAGAGGCATAACAGCCCTAATGGGCCAAGGTCTGGTGCCCGAAATCTGCTTTCTTGACCTTGGGCCTCAGGGTGCATAAGCATATGCCCTGAACAAGTGGTCAGCTTCTTGCAGGACCCCCAGTTTTTAGTCCCCAAGCGAACTTGGTACTCATTTTATTGAACCAAGTGATGGAAATCAAGGGATGAAAGGCTGAATCAATCTTGCCCAGCCCAGAAATTGAACCCCAGACCTGTGGAGCTGCTGCGTGATGCGTTAGCCATTGCGCCAGCAGGCCTCTTTTATCATGAGAGGCCACATTTAAATTAAGCATCGATAAAGGAGGCTGCATAATTTGATATATGTATAAGTGCGACTTTTGTGAAATTATTATAGTTTTTGTATAATTTTATCACTTTATTGCATTCTATAGAAGTAATGCAAAAAACCATCAAGTCATTTATTAAAATACAAATTTACAATATGCAATATTTTTCTATTCATGTAAGGCTAATAACTTATTAAAACATTAATATTTTTTATTAAACAACTACATATATTTAAATACTGTTTCAAATAAAAATAACAAAGTATTTTTCAATAAATTTATTACATTATAAAGAAAAACAATAGAAAAGAAATTATTTGTATTAATTTATAAAAAAACCAACATAGCAACTGTATGTAAAATACTGTTAAAATCCGATGGAAAATTTAATTTAGTGGGATATTTGCATTTGTTTCTTTCCTGAAAGTAATTGAATATTTGCATCTAGCTTCATAACACACAGCCTTAGTAGACTGTCTAAATGAGCATATGTAATTTGTGATCTTAAATTAGTTTTAATTTTTGTCATGAGAGAAAGTGTTGACTCGCAGCAGTAGGTACTTCCTAAGCAGGAAAGTAAACGGTGTTCATGGTCTCATGGGCATGGATATTCAACGGCATTTTTCTAGATTTCTATGGGATCCTTTTCAGCATCAAAAAGAGATTTGAGGATACTATTTTCCCCCAACTCATATACAGTCAAAAGTCGTTAATTCGGACACCCATAATCCAGAATGATCTATAATCTGGACCTCAAAGCTTCAAACTTTCTGCGCATGCACGTAAGGCCTTTACGGCTGAGAATATGCTTGTGCGCGTGCTCAAAATACGTTTACGAGTGTGCGTTTAATGTATAACGGACAGTATAAGCTAAGCTAAAATTATTTAATTATCTATTTCAGTTAATGTTGCAGATTGTGTTGTTCCTTAATCTTAGAATTGGATCCGGCTTATTATTTTTTGCAGACTGTTAGAGCAATTTTATAAAAGTAAGCTTGAACTTTTGATTATGTCAAATAGAATTTCTGATATATGTTTATTAATATGTAAATGATCTAGAAAGCGAAAGTATGTTTCGAAGTTCATTAAACAAAAAGTGGCATTGCTACAAAAAATGGATAAAGGCATATCCTTTGTTTATCTAAACTTTAACGTTTGTTTATCTTTAACGCCGCGGCGCCGCGCAATCAATTGGAAGTTGATCTGTCAGCACTATCCTTATCTTCAGAGCAGATGTTTTTATTTTATTTGCCTTATAATTCCTTATTAAATGTAGTATTTCATCTCGATGTACTCCATCTTTGATATGATTTAAATCAAATTCCTCGTCATTATAATTCGCTTCCAATAGCGAAGAAAGTGACAGAGGTTATTGAAACGAAAAAATTTCTATTGACAAATTAGTCGGTCTTCTCGACACAGCAATTATAGGACTTGAACAGCGGAACTTTGTAACTGAAGAAGAAATTATGTCTGTTTATAGAATTAAAGAGAAAGTATTATGACATAAAACGTAGCAACTTAAAAATAACATTGAAAGAAATGTTTAATAAAGTAAACAAATAAATATTAAGCTTTTTTTTTTTTTTTTGTAAATTTTGTTACCCTTTAGATCATAATTGTTCTATATTTCATAAATTACGGTTTCATATTTTTAATTTTGTAATTTCTGCATGCCATCGTACCAGATTTAAACTGATGATCTATAATCCGGAAAAATTGATAATCCGGAATCGCCGAAGTCCCGACGAGTCCGGATTAATGACTTTTGACTGTACTCCATTTATAGTTCCGTGTGGATATATATACTAAGTGTGCTTCAAATATATACTAAATGTGCTTCAAATGCCATAGGAGAAGTGTGCTCGTCAAAATCTGAAAAATCTTCACTATATTCTTCTGTTAAAAAGTCCAAAATACTTACATGCTCATCAAATGTTTTATTTTTACGTGTTTGCTCATTCAGGATTTTTGCTAGTTCCGGGAAGTGTTCTGCAGATATATCCAAGTAAGAGAGCAATGTTTTGATAAATGTTAATTTTTTTTTTCAAATGCTTGGATCCTTTGCCACATTTCATATATGTGCTTTGTTTTACCTTACAGGTAAAGATATAAATTGTTTTGTTTTGTTATAATATCAGACAAAAATACAGTGTTTCTGCAAAATGCCTCATTTGATAGATCATATAGTTTTCCCTATTCTTGAAAAAAGTTTAAAATTCGTCATCATAAAGTTAAAGCTTTAAATAAAAGTTAGTTAAAGTTAAACCTGCCTGTTGATAGCCAGCGAACCATACAGTAGTATTGTAGATCAGCACTGTACATTTTCTCGTCTTCTCAATTTAGCATCTGCCAAAATTCATGATGATGCATTGCATTTACATGAATATAGTTGACAATCAAAATAGTTCTATTCAGAGTGTCTTGCAAAATAGTTATTTTTGCGCAAAAGTTTTGCTGATGAAAAATGCAGTGAAAAATTCCCCAAAATATGTTAAAAATTTATCAGTGCTTCATAAAATTGTTGGCTGATGAAATTTTACATCTGCGTTACATGCGCAATAAAAACTAATAAAAGTTAAATTTTTACTTTAAATCATTAAAGATGAATAATTATAGTTAATAAGTCATTAAAGGTGGATAATTAAAGTTGTATTAAATTAGTGTAAAGAAAATGTCAGAGCTATAGTTGTTGAGCTTAACTAATATTATTAAATTAAATATGAATTAGCCTCAATAAAATTGTCGTGCTTGTCGGAATGGCAGATACATCACACATCACGTGATTGTAAATTTAACAATTTTATTACCCATAAACATGACTTTTATGTACAAATGACTTTTATGTACATGATGTTGATATTATATGATTTAAGAAAATAACTCTGAAACACAGGTGTTCAGTACCTTACAAATTAAATCAGCCCCGCTGGTTAAACTCGAAATTCCAACTCGGGCATAAACGCTCTACCACACGTTCTGCAGACAACTCGGGTCTGTCTCATTTGTTGGAGTCTTACCTCAAGGGATGCGACTGATTGGCTGACTACTGCCAGATACATGACAAAAATATTATGATAACTCTTCCTTTCACAGTTTTCAACTTGTTAATTCTTTACTAGACTGAAATTCAGGGAAACTTTTAATTTTCTGTATAGTTGAATTGAGTTCAAATGATTATAGAAATATTTATTGGAAAGTAATTTTTAATTAAAAATATTAAAACAAGTACTTTCCTTTTTTATAAAAATTAATAATTCATATTTTTATCATAATTTAAAAAAAGTCATCAAATTTTTGAAAAAAAATTACAAATTTGCTTAGTACTTTCATGTGTATGACATGCATGTAAATTGATCTGCCATAATACATCTTCAGGTTCGTGAAGAAGTTGCTGAACGTTTTTATATATCCCAACATCAAAAAATGCTTGAAGATGTTGTTGTTGAAGAAAAAGTTCCCAGCATTGGGTATTACTTTTTATGACTTATATTTAGTTTTATACTAAGATTGTAATTTTCATGTTAATGTGGTTTGTGATTAATTAAACATTTTTTTTCTAATTACAGAATGATAGGTTTTAGCCTCTTGAAACTTCTTCAGACAAAACGCCCTTTGTATCCTGCAAGAAAAGAACGCAAGAAAGTGATTTGTGCTATTGGCAATATGAATGTCAAAATTATTATTAAGATACTACATGCCACAAATGTTCCTGTGAGAATGGATGTTAGTCCATTTGAACAAAAAGAATCATCTTCTGAAGGTAGGTTTTGTTTTTGTTGAAAAAATTTGAATTGAAAAAATTTGAATTAAAAAAATTTGTACTGCATTTTTGGACCTTTTTTTGTTATAGGATGACATAGGGGCAAAAATTTTCTGAACATTAGAAATGTTTCATAGGTTAATATTCCTATAAACAAAGAAGTGAAATTGAATAGCACACATTAAAAATTTATTATGGATAAAACTTAATTTTGAAAACAAGAACGATATTATAAAATATTAGAACAATGCATTTAATTTAACAATGACAAATGAGCAATAATGTTGCTTAAGATTTGATGAGGTAGTCTTTTCTTTTCTTCCAACATCTTTATATGAATTCACATAAAGAAGAATATGCATAATTTTTTATATAAACTATGCATAATAACATGATACTAAATGTATTTTGCTATGCAAAATACATTTAGCATCATTATGCATATATCTTTCTATAGAAAATTGTTTGGAAGATGTCTTCTAAAGCAGGGTTTCTTAAACTTTTTGGTGTAGAGACCTTCTAATATTTACGAAAATTTTATGGTACCCCATAAACATTATGCAAGTCCGACACACACGTGAGTGAAAACATCAGTTTCTTCACTTGTACTGTAATATACCATTGCAGTTTTAGGTTATTGACTTTAATTTTTAAAGTAAACAGAACATTTCTATTATAAAAAAAAATGCATTGAAATGTTTTTGTTTTTTCTATGTCTGTATTGTCTTATCTTTATCTATTTTCAAATTCATTATGTAAAAATATTTTATAATTATAAATTTATTATAGTAAGATAAAGAAATATCAAAATTGCTAAATTTTTGGCGACCTCCTACTACAAGTCCTGCGACCCCAGTTATGACCCACAGTTTAAGAAACTCTGCTCTAAAGTAAACGTTCTGCATTCATATATGAAAGTTTACACATAAAAAACAAAGATAGTCTAATAAGTTGCTTTAGAGAGTAACCTAGAGAAAACTGACATTTTTAAAAGTATTTGGTTGCATATTGTGTGTCTAAAGAGAAACTAAACTCCTTAAATAAAATATAAGATACAGTCAAAAGTCGTTAATTCGGACACCCATAATCCGGACCTCAAAGCTACAAACTTTCTGCGCATGTCTCGCGTTGACGCATGCGCACAGGCGTTTAAGAGTGCGCGTAAGACCTTTACGGCTGCGAATATGTTTGTGCACATGCGCGTTTAATGTGTAACGGAGTTATAAGCTAAGCTAAAATTATCTAATTCAGTTAATGTTGCACATTGCGTTGTTCCTTAATCTTCGAATTGGATCCGGCTTATTATTTTTTGCAGACTTTTAGAGCAATTTCATAAAAGTAAGCTTGAACTTTCGATTATGTCAAATAGAATTTCCGATATATATTTACTAATATGTAATTTGTATCTACAAAGTGAAAGTATGTTTTGAAATCCGAAAACTGTTTATCAATTTCACACTGCGGATTGGAAGTTGATCTGTCAGCACTATCCTTATCTTCAGGGCAGATGTTTTTATTTTATTTGGCTTATAATTCCTTACTAAGAGTAGTATTTCATGTACTCCGTGTTTGATATAATTTAAATCAAGTTCCTGGTCATTATAATTCCCTTCTGATAGTGAAGAAAGTGACCCAGAGGTTATTGAAAACGAAAACATTTCGATTGACAAATTAGACGGTATTCTCAACACAGCAATTATAGGACTTGAACAGCGGAACTTTGTAACTGAACAAGAAATTATGTCTGTTCATAGAATTAAAGAGAATGTATTATCACATAAAAAACGAAACAACTTACATTGAAAGAAATGTTTAATAAAGTAAACAAATAAATATTAAGCCTTTTTTTTTTGTAAGTTTTGATACCCTTTAGATCATAATTGTTCTTTATTTCATAAATTACGGTTTCATATTTTTAATTTTGTAATTTCTGCATGCCATTTTACCAGATTTAAACTGATGATCTATAATCCGGAATCGCCGAAGTCCCGACGAGTCCGGATAAATGACTTTTGACTGCATCATGTGTTTGCTAAAACTGAATTTTTTTTTTTTTCCCCCAAAACAGCCTTCTTTTTTCATCATTGCTGAATAGTAAAACTGGAGAGTAAGGTGGATATCTGATGATATAAACTTAATGTTTTGCAAAACATTGTATAATATAATGATTTTATGAATTACAGCATTGTCATGGAAAAATTGTCAGCTTACTAGCTTTCTAGAGTCTGGTGTAATTTCTAATAAATCTCCATTCAAAATTCTCCTGAGCATCCTTCTAATACTGTCTGGTGTAATTTCACCTTTTGGAATGAATTTGCAGTGAATTATTTCTTTTATTATTTGGTACTAAGATTTTCATAATGAATTCTAGTGCTTGATGGAATGGCTAGATTCATTTCATGGAATTTCACAGCTTCTAACAAAATCTCTTTAACATAAAAAATATGATTAATATATACCATTCTGTGTGCTTGGCAGTACAGGAAACAAAGTTAGAACTTGAACAACTAGCACAGAAGCATTCTTTCAACAAAAAGAATTCATTCACCCAAGAAAGATAATCTGATACATGAGCATGTCAGTAGAGGTGTAGATCTTTACCTCACTTGACTGTCTATCAAATGCATTTGACAATGTGCCTCTGAACTCTCATTATGCAAACAAACTTGCAATTTCTTTTTTTTTTCCAGTTCCTTTAGTTTATTTACCCCAAATGACCATATCGATCAACGATATTTACTATCTTATAGAGCAGCTGTCTGAAATCTTTATCAAAATAGGGGCCTTAAATGGTCATAGTCTGCTATGGGGAAGTAAGAATAGAAATTCTAGAGGCAGACAAATTGAACAACTGATCGAAGATTATCATTTTTCTCTCCTCAATAATGAACAAGATACCTGTATCCTTGAGCTTACAAGGGCTTTTCACGCTGTTGATTTGCCATGTGTTCACTATATATTTTGCCCATATGCCTTTAGTATTGGAAATGATCCTTACAATAAGAGTAGTTTCCATTTTTACTTCCTTGTGCGAAGTAAAAAGGAAGTATTGTAATCGCGAAAAGTTTCAGGCAACATATTTCAACGAAAATATCCATTTTGACCGCTATAGAATGCAATTTTGCGTGATATCTGTACGTAAGGACAGAATAAAAGACTCATTTCCTCCAAAAAAAAAAAAAAAAATTATAAAACTGCTTTAAAATTAATTCTGAAGAGAATTTTTCGTGGCGTCTGTACGAACGTATGTACGTACGTACGTACGTATCTCGCATAACTCAAAAACGAGTAGCATCAGAACGTTGAAATTTTGTATATAGGACTGCTATAACATGCATATGTGCACCTCGTATTTTGGTTGCAATCGGCCGCACCAAACATACATAAATATATTTATATATATATCCACTCTGTTACCCGGCTCAGTGATCTCAGTTTCTTTACTCTTATATGTTTGTAAATTGTACATTTTTTGCTTTGAAAATGATTGCATTATGTTGTTTTTATCTTCCGGTTAAGGTTTTTATGCCTTTAGTAAATCTGTGTGCAATATTTTTAGAATTATCAACAATTTTAAAGTTGTTTAAGTGCCGCTAAGCCTTTTTTTTTATGGCGGCCATTGATTGTTTACATTTGAAACAGCAGACTATTGGATTGTTGCCAATCTAGAGAAACTTAGCTTTGCAACAACAAAGGTAATGCCTTCATTTATTATTGCCAATTAAGTCATGCTTAATCCTTTCTGGAATTTTTTCGAGGAAATAAGTGTTTAAGGTTTACTTCGTAATTTTTAATACAGATATTTTGAGTTTTTATGCATTTTTGCCTTCTTGCAAAGTGAGAACTGAATTAATTGAATGAGAAATACTCAATCGTCTGTGAAAAACTGTTTCTTTTTTGTTTTGTTTGCTTAATTTCTTTTATACATCATTCTAGCTTTATTATAGTATTTGAATAGAACATGTGGCAATGATTAGATAATTCTATTCTTTAAATGATATAAATTTTGTGCATTATGAGTTATAATATGAACGAAATATAATACTGTTAAGTGAATCTAGAGCCAGAGTGTCACTATGGTAAACAAATACTAGAGTGAATTTTAAAGAATGCATTTATTCTATTGTGGTTTATGCGCTGTCGGCAAAGTAGATTTAATTCAATCCAATAAGTTTAAATGAAATGCAAGAAAAAATGCGTATAATTTAATATTCCGTACAAGGAAGTCATGTGCTGTACACATCAGATTTTTTATCTCACATGAAAAGGAGTGTATCCCAGTGAAGATCTTTTCGCTTTTTATGTGATATGACAGACTGGGAATTCTTCTCTACACTTGCAGACCTCATTGAAAAAATGGTAAATTATATGCTTGTTGATGATCTGTGAAAGCCATTACTGATCTTATTATTCAGGCAGTTACAGTCTCTGTACCTGTGACATCAATAGCTACTAAGATATTTAGAACCATAGCTGAATGCTAAGAAATACCAAAAATGTTGTTGGTGTTGGTGTATTTAATTATGGCAAAGCATGCTAGGGCTATCTGCCTAAGGGGAGGGATGCCTTTCGTGGAGGACTTTCTAAGGGAAACTGGCTCGTATACACGTTACACATGGGGAAAACCACGAAAACACCCATGCAGCCAGCCCGTTCGCGGGATTCGAACCTCGGACCGAACTACCAGTGTTCACCATCTTTACCGCTCGGCTGCTGGTGGGCCCAAAAATGTTGTAAATGCCAAGAAATACAAAGACAATAGAGAAAAGCTTGGGGAGCTTTTTGTAGGTACCTCACTTTGTCAAAACTTACGGCTTCCAGAACAAATGGAAGACGAGACAGCTGAGCCAGAGGAATTCATAGATTATTTTCTGAATCATCAATAACATCCTCTACTCTAAATAAATAATTATGGGAAATAGTTAGAAAAAGATGCTGATTACTCATATAAAGACTACTCATTTTCCATTCTGGGAGGGGATGGCTGAGTGATTAGCACTACAGTAGAAGTTTATTAATGAGACCTTTGATACCATTTCTACAGGCAGCAACTATCCACCAGCATTTCTTTCTGGGAAGCTGCAGTCTGAGATAATTCCTACTTGGAGCCATAAAATGGTGATTTTAGCATATTTGAATTAAAAAGAGCTTTGTGACAGAAACACAGATCTAGTCTGGGTCAATTATGATATAGTTTGGATAGATCTACTCTGGGTCATTTATGATGATGTCAGTTATGAATTGCTGAAGCATTCATCCTGTAGGTCACTGATCGCCTTTTTCACTTTTTACAACTGAGTGCGGAAGAAGCGTACTTTTTGCAGTGCATGGAAGAAAGCTACTGCCTATCCTATAGCTAAGCCAGAGAAATAACGAAAGAATCTCTTTAACTTTCAGTCTGTCACATAGCAAGTTGCATTTGCAAACTTGTGGGAAAAATATAAAATCACTTTGTTATTATTTGGAAAAGAACAACGTAATCTGGCCTTATCAGAGAGTTTTCAGTAACGGTAAAATGTCTATTTATAATACGCTGCTTTGAAAATCTTCACTCGTAAAATCTTTGTCAAAAGAAAGCACCTATTTTCTGTCCTTTTTGACATTGAAAAGGTCCTGTGCGAACTAGCGTTGTGGCATTCTATATGATCTTTGTGCCAGTGGTGTATGCAATAACCTACCAATTTTCATAGAATGTTTTAAATGCATGAAATGTGTTTAAATGTTTTAATGTGTATAATCAGGAAATGTTTTAAAGTATTAAATGTTCTAAAATGTATTGGTGAATACTTCATGGATGTGGACTATTGGTCTTTGTTTCACATTCACAGAGTACTCGGCTACTATAGACTGGACAATGTCTTTATTGTGTATGGATTGGCATGATCTTCAATTTTATTGAAATTAATTTTGTCGACCATAAACTCTGTATGCTAGTTTTTGTGAATCAGCAATACAGCTGGGACGTGACCAATTACTGTTCTTCATTACTTCAATATACTATCTCAGCCTGACTTTCCTAGTAAGGTATCTTTGCTTGATGATATGGGGGACTTCCTGTTTTAAGCATGACCATATTGAGAGCCTTTTTAATCTTTGAGGGCTTACTCACCAGCTGAAGAATATTGCATTTCTAATGTATATACTGAGGCAGCAAAGCATTTCGAAATATCACCTTGTGCAAAAGTGCAAATTTGGCTTTTGGATGTTTTCAGTTATCTTGGCAAAAAATACTAGCAAGATTATATATCAGCAACTTTTTTTTTACATAGTAACACACGGCAGTTCCGATGTATATGGAAAAGTCAAAAGCAACTGGTCATGTCTGAGTATTGTTTATAATAGAAAACCATATGGAAAGAAGACAACTGCACGATTCTCGTTCATTACTCACTTGCAAATGAACTGCTGTGTGTTATGGCCATTTATTCATATTTAAGTTAAGTCGTACAAAATTCATAATTTATTCAAACTTGTTTAGTGAGCCAAAAGCTTCTGAAACATTTTTCAACACCTAGAATTCAGTTTTAGAAGTTTTAAAGCTAAATTAGAAATTTAAGTAATTACACATACCAGATTCTTTTAATACCTGGTTTCCACACACATGAGGAGGGATAACAGGTAATGAACTGACAGGCATCACAATAAAGTCTGCTGTTGGCTCATTCTTTTCAAAGATATCATCATGGGGAATCAGACAAAAAATTATGGCTAAATGACAGCTACTTTGGGACATTCAGACATATAATAAGTTGATAAATATAAAGCTAGAGTGAAGTATTGGTAGGTTAGTAGAAGCTGTGCAACTTAGGATTGATCACTCCTTGAACTGTATGTAATTGCCTTCTGAAAACCGACAGTGAACTGAAATGGTAAACAGTTAATTAGAGGAAATCAAAATATTCAATGTTGTTGTCTTGTCAATGAATTTCACTGAAAAATGGTTGCCAGAGCCTCAAGGAGGTTAGACTTTTACCCCAATTTTGAGGGACAGCACCCCAGAAAGGGGACCACAATCTCCCCTACCACCAAACCACACAGTAGGATTTTCGACTCAGCATATATTTTGAGTGCCCCATGCCGTAAAGACACTATACATTTACAAACATCCATGCCTTCTCCCGGATTTGAACCTGGGCCCTTCGGTGCAGCAGTAGGCTCGCCCCCTAACCACTATACTATCTGTGTGACCAGAGCAGTTGTGGACTCAGATGAATGGAGTTTCGGATGTCTTCAAAATATCATTAGTTTGAATCAAAAGTGTATAGAATTCAGGATTTTCAAGAATTATATCTCCAGTTATAACTGAGCTGTTTGCTTGCTATATATAAAATTTCTTATAAAAATTTATATAAAATTTCTTATAAAATTTTATATATAAAAATTTCTTATAAATTTTTATATAAATTAATTTTTTTATTCTTATAAAAATTACCTAATTTATATAAAATTTCTTATAAAATAACAATATATTCGTTAGAAAGTCAGTGCAATATTCAGTACCTGGGCTTTTCGGTCCTGCAGTAGGCTCATTAACCACTATACCGTCTAGGCGGTAAAATATTCCTTTTTAAGTTTGTTTTACAATAATAAATAGTTTTGCAAAATAATAAATTTATTAACCCCTTAACTGCCACGGAAAACGTGCAAGATTTATTTCCCAGTGCCACGGTTTTTCACACAGGCACACATAGTTATGTAGTATATTAGGGGAAAATAAGTGCAAGTTTTACTTTCTAAAAACTGTTTTTCACAAAATAAAGAATAAAAGAAAAAAATAAATGCACAAAATTTAATGTTTTGAGTAAAAGTATAATAAAAAGATGTAAGTATCATAAAAATGATGTTTTTATCATAAAAAAGATCCCTAAAATGGAGTTTTGATCAATTCATTTTTTAGACCAGTAAAGTGTAATATCAGGTTTTAGTGTTATACCTTATGAAATCAATATGCCTAAAAAAACATATTTCTTCTGAACTGGTTGAATGCCATGATTTTGTTCTTGATTTTTCGTTTGCAAGGTGTTGGTTTATATACTGGTTTACAAAACGGTTAGTTTCAGTAACAATATGAAGTACGAGCAGTTCATCAAAAAATAATTCAAGAAAGATAAATGGGTTTGAAACATCCGTTATATCTTCCTTTATTCCTGGAACCTACTAGAAAAAGTAAATGAAAATGGAGGACACAGAATAAAAAAAAAAATACGTTTTACTCAAACAACACCAGCCAATACCGAGTAGTCATTACTTTCATTGCTTTAGACACACCCCTCTTTCCAATTTCTCCCCACACTTCTATGAAATAGTATCCTCCTTCACATACTTTGTCAAGGTCATTGTGGTGTTGCATTCCAAAGCTTTGTGAATAATTTTACGGGTAGCAGCGCAAAGCAAATGATAGTATTTTGGAAGGCCGTATATATATATGCCCGTGGCAGTTAACGCATCGGCTGAGCAAGGCATATATAACGCCCGTGTATATATATATGTATATATATATATATACATATATATATATACACCCATGGCAGTTAAGGGGTTAAAGATTATTAGATGTATCTGAATTTAGTAGGCTTACCATTTCTAGAACCTATCAAAATCTGTCAAGTCTTGGCTAATCAAATCAAATGCTCTGTGCGTATAATGATTTTACATGTCATTGTGGTTTCATAGTGCATAAATTGCCTTTCAAAATTATTTGTAGATATGTAGAGTGAAATATCCTTCAAAATTTCATTCTTAAAATTACTTTTCAGAAACAGCAATTCACATTGAAAGTCAAGTGCAGCCTTTTGTAGAAGTAATGTTTCAAAGAGTTGCTGTTAAGACTGGTATAGCTGATGGACCTCATCCAACATGGAACCAAGAATTAATACTTCCATTTCAGTAAAGTCTTGAAATTCATATTTTTATATTTTATATGCTGCTGATTGATTACTATTTGAAATTAAATTAATAACTAAATTTGAATTATAAAATTATTTTTTCTCAAAAGTTAATACTAATTGTGATTTTTAAAAAGTATCACTGTCATCATCAGTATAATGATCCTTTCAAATCTTGGTGATTTTCTTTGATTATTTTGCAAATGAAAATATTTTCATTTTTAAGCATTTTCTTGAAATATTTAAAGAAAATGCTTAAAAATGAAAATATAAAGTATAATATAAAAAGTGAAACTACTTTCCAAATCATAAACATTTCAAACCCATATTTCAACATTTTCATTTGTTTAAAACATTTTTTAAGTAAAATATAACCACAAAATATACACCATTTAAAATTAGTTTTAATATTTAAAATTTTTTTAAATTATGAAATTGCATAGATGTTTCACTTAAAATATGTAAAATTACTTAAATGTTACCTTGCTTTATGAGAAGAACAATTATTGAACATTTGTAGGTTTAAAAAATAACTTATGGAATGATAATAAAAAAACCTAAAATGTTACATCAGTGTATGATAAGTGTACTATAATTCACTAAATTCATTTATATAGAAGAGATCTACATTTAGCGTAGTTTCGTTTTCAAGAATCAGGAAAGCGTTGTTCACATGGAAAGCCTGAGAACGTACTATGAACTGGGGTACATTGAGCTTTTTGTTTCATTGTTAACAGGGTAGTGAGAGTTGCAGCAGAGTAAGGTGTAAGAATTTTTCAAATATCAAGATTTTATCATCTATTTTATATAATGGTGAAGTCTTGAAACACAAGGATATATTCAATAACTTACACTCACTTTTTGTCTGTTTTATATTTCCTCAGAAAGCTTCCTGCAAACTTGGGTGCTGTTACAAAATTAAAATCATATTTTTCTGCAGTCATTACACAAAACAAATGCTGAATGCTAATTAAGATTTTCTTTTTTAAGTCTCACCTCTCTTTTATGGGGGGGAGGGGGTAAAAGTGAAACTACTTTCCAGATTATTTTTGATTGTAAAATCAAGTAATAACACATAGGCCTTTTCTTACAGTGGTGTGATGTAAAAGGATCTTATGTAAGATGGAGAATGTCTGTGTTCTTTATTGTACAAAGATTTTGTTACCTACCTCTAAAATTCTTTATCATTGCAATATAACCTAGTACAGTCAAAAGTCGTTAATCTGGACTCGTCGGGACTTCGTCGATTCCGGATTATAGATCATCAGTTTAAATCTGGTAAGATGGCATGCAGAAATTATAAAATTAAAAATATGAAACCGTAATTTATGAAATAAAGAACAAATATGATCTAAAGGGTATCAAAATTTACAAAAAGAAAAAGCTTAATATTTATTTGTTTACTTTATTAAACATTTCTTTCAATGTAAGTTGCTTCGTTTCATGTGATAATACTTTCTCTTTAATTCTATTAAACAGACATAATTTCTTGTTTAGTTACAAAGTTCTGCTGATCAAGTCCTATAATTGCTGTGTTGAGAATACCGAATAATTTGTCAATAGAAATTTTTTCGTTTTCAATAACCTCTGTGTCACTTTCTTCGCTATCGGAAGCGAATTATAATGACGAGAAACTTGATTTAAATCATATCAAAGACGGAGTACATCGAGATGAAATACTACATTTAGTAAGGAATTATAAGGCAAATAAAATAAAAACATCTGCCCTGAAAATAAACAGACAGATCAACTTCCAATTCATTGCGCACCGCATCGTTTCCCTCCCCCCGCAGAGCAGCGTGAAATTGATAAACATATTTCAGAATGATTAGATAATCAAAGGATATGCCTTTATCCATTTTTTGCAGCAATTCCACTTTCTGTTTAATGGACTTCGAAACACACTGTTGTTTTGTAGATCCTTTACATATTAGTAAATATATATCGGAAATTCTATTTGACATAATCGAAAGTTCAAGCTTACTTTTATAAAATTGCTCTAACAGTCTGCAAAAAATAATAAGCCTTATCAAATTCGACGATTAAGGAACTACGTAATCTGCAACATTAACTGAATTTGATAATTTTAGCTTAGCTTATACCGTCCATTATACATTAAACGAGCATGCGTAAACGTATTATGCGCATGCGCACATGCATATTCGCAACCATAAAGGTCTTACGCGCACGCTTAAACGCCTATGCGCATGCGTCAACGCGACACATGCGCAGAAAGTTTGTAGCTTTGAGGTCCGGATTATGAGGTCGAATTAACGACTTTTGACAGTACTATATTTTCTTTAATTTCCTTTTTTTTTTTTTTTTTTTACTAAATTTATCAAAAGGAGAAAATCAAAAGAGAAAATTATGTGAGTAATTTAATTTCTGAAAGAAATGATTGCAGTAAGAACATACCAAATGACAAGTAACCATAGATAAACTACAGGTAACTATCACAACATTATTTCTTTAATAAAAACTTGCATTCGAATAAGAATACATATTAATATTACAATATCTAACAAGGTGCCTTCATTTCTACTTCCTGTAGCTTGAATCTCACCCATTTTTATTGCCGTCCCTGTTACTCCTTACACCTTGAATCATACATAAATAATTAGAGATAGTGAATGTGCATTTGGATTCAACGAAACATTATATTTAATACTTGTTTGTATTTGCTTCATTGGGATAGGTCGTTTCTTGTCTTAGGTGAGAATAAAGTTCAACAGTTAGGAGGTAAAGTTTTGGTGTGACCTTTGCAAGTAACCTGCTTGTTTTTTTTTTTTTTTTTTAAGTAAGATAGAAACAATCACTACATGGGCGAATTAATAAAATTTTCTTTTTAAACCAATGGAGGGCCCTCAGCCGGATTCTTTTTGGCCACTACTAAGGCCAGAAGTGGTGGTCACTTTATTATGGAGGTACCTAATAGGTGAGCCACCACTGTCTCCTATGAAGGGACAAACAGTTACAACCATGCCTTCTCCGTGAAACGAACCTGGGCCCTTTGGTATCACAGTAGGCTCCCCTAACCAGTAACCATCTAGGCGGCCATTTTAAAATATAAGGCAGCTCATTCTCTGAATGCATAGAGGAAGGGGAAAAATTATGCAAATATTTTTTAAATTTTCAGAACCTGATGCTAAAAAGGTAGGTTGGGGAAATATGTGAGGAAATATGGTAAATATGGCCTAGCAGTTTTAATGAGGAAGTATGAAAAATACACATTTTACTTAATTTCAGAAATAAACTGGTAGTTATATAATATTGAATGGTAGAATATTTCTAATGATGAAATAAATAGTGTTGTAAATAGTCAACTAAGAGTTAACAGGGATTATAATAGGGGTACAGATATTGTAAGCAATTTATTAACTACTCCAAAACTTGAAAAGGAAAGCATGGATATTGAAAAAATTCTAATTTAGCCTTAGCAAAAAGATTCTTTTTTATCTCGCTTCTTTTTACCTCTTTCAAAAAAGATAAAATTGCTTATTGTGTAAGTATAAAAATTTACTTGGATAATTAATTGAACTATGCTTTAATATAGAAAATTTCCTACTAAATGAAAATTATTTACTTTCGATTTGAGAGTGTTGTTTGTAAATACATTAAAGTGCTATCTGTAGGTTACTACATGATTCTGATAATTTATGTTTATTTTTATTTTATAATGCAAGTCATAACAAAAGTTAACTTTGCCTTAAAATATTTTAGGGCAGCTAATGCTGACTATAGTCCAACTAGTTTAGAATCAGTTAAAGATATCATTTATATCAACCTTTTTGACGAAGTTGCAGTAGATCTCTTAGAGGATGATAAAGAGAGAAGTACAGTGGTGTATGAAAGACTGGAAAGACGGTGGCTTGGAAATTTAAAAATTCCATTTACAACTTTGTACTTGAATTCAAAGGTAATAAATATTCTTGTAAGTTTTTTTATTGTATTTAAAAGTTTGTAAATTGAAAAAAACAAACATTTTTAGATCATCAACAATGTTTAATTTGTATATGCTTAAATGATTATTATTGCTTAAATGATTATTATTACTTAATTGCATAAAATTCTAAATTCACAAACTGCATTACTATCTCACTAGAATGTGTATTTTTATATTACAGAAATGTTACAACTTAGTTTAGTTTAAATGATTATTGGCTAAGTTAAAACAACAAGAATCAGTGTAATGTTTGTAAATTTTGCAGAACTAATTTTGATGGTTTTACAAAATTTACAAACATTGTGCTGATTCTTGTTGTTTAAGTTCTCCAATAATCGTTATTCGGTATGCTATTTTAACCTAGATTATAGTTTAAACGCTTAAAATGCTTAAAGAATGGAAATTTCAGTTATTTCAGATCAGTGTTTCCTAACCCTTTTGACAAGTGGAACCTTTTTTAATGAAAATTTTTGTTGTGGGACCCGTGCTTTGCTTTAGTGATATGGTTTTAATGCAGCATTCTGTAAATGGATTATTTGCAATAAAAATGACAAGTATTTCAAATAATATTTATTTGATTCAAAAAGTAATTTCAAAGTAATCCAAAAGTTCTTAAAATAATACAGTCAAAAGTCGTTAATCCGGACTCGTCGGGACTTCGGCGATTCCGGATTATCGATTTTTCCGGATTATAGATCATCAGTTTAAATCTCATAAGATGGCATGCAGAAATTCTAAAATTAAAAATATGAAACCTTAATTTATGAAATAAAGAAGAATTATAATCTAAAGGGTATCAAAATATACAAAAAAAAAAAAAAAAAAAAAAAAAAAAGCTTAATTTTTATTTGTTTACTTTATTAAACATTTCTTTCAATATAAGTTGTTTTAAGCTGCTTCGTTTTATGTGATAATACTTTCTCTTTAATTCTATAAACAGACACAATTTCTTGTTCAGTTACAAAGTTTCGCTGTTCAAGTCCCGTTAATTGTTGTGCCGAGAATACCGACTATCTTGTCAATCGAAATTTTTTCGTTTTCACTAACCTCTCTGTCACATTCTTCATGTCTTTATCCATTTTTTGCAGCAATTCCACTTTTTGTTTGATGGACATTGAAACATACTTTCGTTTTGTACGATCCTTTGGGAGCTCCAGAATTGGAAATTCTATTTGACATAATCGAAAGTTCAAGTTTACTTTTATAAAATTGCTCTTACAGTCTGCAAAAAACAATAAGCCGGATCCATTTCGAAGATTAAGGGACAATGCAATCATCAACATTAACTGAAATAGATAATTTTAGATTATACCGTCCGTTATACATAAAACGCGCACGCGAAAACGTATTCTGCACTTGCGCACACGCATATGCGCAGTGGTAAAAGGTCTTACGTGCACGTGTAAGCACCTATGCGCATGTGTCAACGAGGCGCATGCGCAGAAAGTTTTTAGCGTTGAGGTCCGGATTATAGATCATTCTGGATTATGGGTGTTCGAATTAACGACTTTTGACTGTATACTCAAACAGAACTTAAATTTAAATTTTAATGAGATGAATGCTATTGCTGTTTGTTATCTCAGATATCCTTAATATTAGGTTTTATGGATGACAGTTGAATTCTCATATCAGGTTCTGCATCATATCTGTTTCTGTATTTATTTTTCGTCGACACATAAGCTCAGAACACTGTTTCACACATGCATATAGCTACAAATAGTAAAAGTGCTAACATGGCCTCTTATGACCATTGAGGCAAGTCATCAATCAAATTGCACCAGAATTCCACTAATGACATTTATTTAAATTTTTCTTCCAACAATGAATAACGTGTCATTTCAATAAAAGTTTCATATACTTTGGATATTGGTAGTGATTTTTTTTTTTTTGGTTTTAAAACTATTCTCAGATTTCATCATTAGTTGACCGAAAATTGGGGCTCTATCATCACAGTGGAAATTTCTGTTGTGTCATCTTCATTTACTATTGTTTCTTCACTAATTCTATTAATTGGGAAATTTTAGCTTCTGTAGTATTCAAAATCTATGCCAAAATAAGGTTGTTATTTTGCCTAATTTTCAAATTCTACTTCCTTAAACCTATATTGCACCAAGGCCAAAAAGCAAATATCAAATATGCTTTCACTTTGCAGGTCCTACTACATCTCCAGAATTAAAAACTTTTTTCAACATAATTAAAAATTCAAATGAAATTTTGATAAGCTAGCTGTAATAATAACATCTTGCAAAAAATAATAAGCTGGATCAAATTAGAAAGTTAAAGTAGGGCACAGTTTGCTCCATTAACTGAAATTAAGTACTTTGGAATATAATTCCTTCTCTCTTTTCCATTGCTATGCCAAGCTCCCCCCCCAAAAAAAAAAATCCCACTCCGAACAAATAAGTCTTGAGACTTCATTTATTGTTTGGGTGAGATGAGCTTAGAAAATTTTACCCCCTCCCCCACATAACCAACAAAGAGGTGAAAGCGTGGTTGTGGCTAACATCAATCTCAATGTACTGTCATTAGACATGACGTGATTTCTTAGCCATCAGGTGTTTGGAAACAGTATACAGGAATCTCATCAATTTCTGTTGGTTCTGTTCTCTCCTTATCTCATCAGTTTCTGTTTGTGGATTTCTTTGACACTGTCTTTATTTTTAATGCGTTAATTTATTTTATGAAATTTCTAGCCTTCAAATTTATTTCTTTTGCATAAATTTTCATGAGCTGTATTTAGACTTCAACTTTGGTTTTGCTTATTTAAGTATTTAAGTCTGAACGAAAGAAAACCGTCTTTGCTAACTTGATTTTTTTTTTTTAAATAACCACCTATTCCATACCAACTCTAGTAGGAATTACCTCTTAAATGCAATTTGGATTGTTTCATTTCTTGTAACAATCAATGTTTCACAGTCACCATTCACTATGCTACTTCACTATCAGTTTTCTTTTGAAGTCTTGTCTCCAGTGTATATTTCATTTTTAAACTTTTTGCTCAGGAATTCGTTAAAAAAGGGAAGGTGTTTCATTGAGACTGTAAATGTTTTTGGGACGGAAATTTGCACATGAATTTTCAAGTTATCCAATCCATTCTATTATCAACTGAGGATTCACTGGTTTAGCTTTATGCAAATTGACTTAAATGACAATTTTTTAGCTATTCATTTGAAGCTTTCAAATTAATTTTCCCAATGAAATGGTAACTTCTGTAGGTTGTGACAAAAGAATCCAGGAATATTGTTGTGTGTGAAGGAAAATAAATTAACTTTATTAATTTCAGTGTTCTTACATTTTTATGATATTGCAGATTCAAAGTTGATTTTCTTTATCGTTTGCCATTGCATACTTATCCAATCTATTTTTTTCGCAGTTATAGAGCATTTATACACTTGTTTTATTTTTTCTGCAACATAAATTATTAAGATTTTTTGTATTTAAATTTATTTTTTGTATTTAATGTCAATTTTTTGTATTTAAATGTCAGTCAGACTATGAATCAAAGCACTGACTCAGATAACTATTTCCATCAGCATTGACAAAATCAGCCAAAGGAAACAAATAGCTATTCTGTGTTCATTGGTGCATAATCTATTCTCAGAATAAATTATAACATCCTAATTGCAATAAGAAGTATACAACATTAATGGTAAAATTGAAAAAACAGTTCCCATTAAATGAATTTTTTCTTACACAACATCTCCTTTTTGTGAAATCTGAAAAAAAGGTTAAAATACTTATGATATTGCATTACTTATTACCTTTCTCATATTGAAGTATGCTAGTTGCTTTAAATTTCTTAAAATTTGTATCTGTAACTACCTAAATTTCTTACTTTCTGTTAAAAAAATGTATCACAGAAAGAAGCATTTCCTTTATTCATATTTTTTTAATATCTGCTTAAATAGTTGAAATTCAAGAAAAAATTTTAATCAAGATTTTTTTTCTGTTTTTTGGCAAGAGCATCCACTAAAGTAGGGAATTCATTAATAGAGGTTCAAATGTAAAAGTAATTTCAATCTTAAGTTTAATTATCTGTGTTTTTAATATCTTCTCTCCTCCCCCCCCCAATGAATTTTTGTCTTAATTTTATTTGCTATTCAGTTACATTATTAACTCTCGAACAAAATGCATTTATACTTTAATTATTTCTTAAACATGAATTTCCTTTAACAAAAAGTAACTTAATATCTTATATGAAATAAAACCCTCACTCACAAACTTTGTTTAACTGACACTGAAATGCATAACATCACCAATTATTTCAAATTTACTTGAAAATATTTTTTTTAAAGTTTTCAAAAATAAGTATTTTATAATATAGAGAAATAATTGCTTGATTGAAATAAACAACTGAGCTTAAAATGAAAGTTATGAAATTTATTTTAATGTATTTGAAAGTACAGTCAAAAGTCGTTAATCCGGACACCCATAATCCGAAATGATATATAATCTGGCCGTCAAAGTTACAAACTTTTTGTGCAAATGCATTGACGCATGCGCGTAATACCTTTACACATGCGCATATGCGTGTACGCATGCACATAATACGTTTACCCATGCGCGTTTAATCTATAAAATGGACGGTATAAGCTAAGCTAAAATTATCTATTTCAGTTAATGTTGCAGGTTGCGTTGTTCCTTAATCTTCGAATTGGATCCAGTTTATTATTTTTTGCAGACTGTTAGAGCAATTTTATAAAAGTAAGTTGGAACTTTCGATTATGTCAAATAGAATTTCCGATGCTGGAGCAAAGGGAAAGCATGTTTTGATGGCCATCAAACAAAAAGTGGAATTGCTGCAAAAAATGGATAAAGGCTCCTTTGTTTCTCTAACCATTCCAAAATCTGTTTATCAATTTCATGCTGCTGTGCGTGTGTGTGGGGGGGGAAACGTCGTGGCGCGCAATGAACTGGAAGTTGATCTGTCAGCACTATCCTTATCTTCAGGGCAGATGTTTTTATTTTATTTGGCTTGTAATTCCTTACTAAATCTCGATGTACTCCATCTTTGATATGATTTAAATCAAATTACTCGTCATTATAAATATCACGAATACAAATCAAATAGTTTTCTGGTTGCAATTTTCTAATTTCGGCTATGCGTAATGTATGCTTTATGCATGCGCGCGTTGAAAGAAATGTTTAATAAAGTAAACAAATAAATATTAAGCTTTTTTTTTGTAAATTTTGATACCCTTTAGATCATAATTGCTCTTTATTTCATAAATTATGTTTTCATATTTTTAATTTTATAATTTCTGCATGCCATCTTTCCAGATTTAAACTGGTGATCTATAATCCGGAAAAATTGATAATCCGGAATCGCCGAAGTCCCGACAAGTCCGGATTAATGACTTTTGACTGTAGTATTATTGTGGAAAACTTTGTATTCAATAAAAATGAGCTATTTTTTCTTTTTAAGAAAACTAATCTGACTATATGTTATCAGGCAAATAATTCTGTATAATACAGTCAAAAGTCTTTAATCCGAACGTCCATAAACTGGACCTCAAAGCTACAAACTTTCTGCGCATGCATCAACGCATTATGCGTTGATGCATGCGCATATGCATTTATGCATGTGAATAATACGTGTGCACGTGCATGTTTAATGTATAATGGACGGCATAAGCTAGCTAAGATTATCTAATTATCTATTTCAGCTAATGTTGCAGATTGCGTTGTTCCTTAATTTTCTAATTGGATCCGGCTTATTATTTTTTGCAGACTGTTAGAGCAATTTTATAAAAGTAACCTTGAACTTTTGATCATGTCAAGAAGAATTTTCGATTCTGGAGCTGCCAAAGGATCTAAAAAGCGAAAGCATGCTTCGATGTCCATCAAACAAAATGTAGAATTGCTGCAAAAAATGGATAAAGACATATCCTTTGTTTCTCTAACCATTCCGAAACCTGTTTATCATTTTCATGCTGCTCAGCTGGGGGGGGGGGAGCCGTCGCGGCACACAATGAACTGGAAGTAGATCTGTCAGCACTATCCTTATCTTCAGGGCAGATGTTTTTATTTTATTTGGCTTATAATTCCTTACTAAATGTAGTATTTCATCTCGATGTACTCCGTCTTTGATATGGTTTAAATTAAATTCCTCGTCATTATAAATATCACGAATACACATCAAATAGTTTTCTGGTAGCAATTTTCTAATTTCGACTGTGTGTAATGTATGCTTTATGCATGCGTGCGTTGAAAGAAATGTTTAATAAAGTAAACAAATAAATATTAAGCTTTTTTTTTTGATACACTTTAGATCATAATTGCCCTTTATTTCATAAATTGCGGTTTCATATTTTTAATTTTATAATTTCTGCATGCTATCTTACCAGATTTAAATTGATGATCTATAATCCGGAAAAACCAATAATCCAGAATCGCCAAAGTCTTGACGAGTCCGGATTAAAGACTTTTGACTGTATATTTTTTTTAACAATGGCGGGCCCTCACCCGAATTTGGCTTGACCACTACTAAGACCAGAAGTGGTGGTCATTTTATTATGGAGGCACCTAATAGGTGGGCCACCTTTGCCTCCTATGAAAGGATGGACAGGTACGACCATGCCTTCTCAGGGATTTGAACCCTGGCCCTTTGTGTTGTAGTCAGCTCCCCTAACCACTATAACAGGGGTTCTCAGCCGGTGGTATGCTTACCTCTGGTGATACACAAGAGAAAAATAGGTGGTATGCAAAGAAGCAAAATATTTTTAATTATTAAATTCAAAAATTAAAACCCCAACATCCTTATTGAGATTTTTCTCTATACTCATAAATTTATGGGATTTGGTCTTTGTTCAAGAGTGGTGATGGTAGTAGTACTTTGTAGTGGTGGTACTAAACATTTTCAGTTTTTGTTTAGATGTGTTCGTCAAAAAGTTGAGAAATGCTGCATTATACCATCTGGCTAGCCAGTTTTGTATTATTAAGTTAATTATTTATCTGGTAGTACTTATGTAGTAAGGTAAGTACTTATGTCATCTCTGCTATTAGGTTTATTTTAAATATATTTTTTATGTTTAGATGAAAGTTGATGCTGCTTTCACCAGGAATTTTCTCACTGTTTTCATATGAAGTGATAATTGATTGATTAATTATATGTGAGTTTCAATTCATAACTTTTGTTTCTTTTATAGATTGAAGGTATGTTTAGAATTAATGTCCCTCCAGTTCTCCTAAGCTATCAGAATGAACCCAGGCCTTGGCTGTCAGGCATGCCAGGTGTTTCATCAAATCAAACATATCTTTCATTTTTTATGACTATTGAACCTTGTCTACAGTTACCTGATGTTTTCAGGGATCAGGTAATATAAAAAATGTGCATTTAAAATTTCTCCTAAATTTGATGTTAAAAATGTGATGTTAATATAGTAAGTGTTTTCAGTGTTATCATTGACACTGCTTTGGGGGGGGAGTTAATTTATACGAGGGCTATCCAGAAAGTAGATTACGTTTTGGAATAAAAAAATAAACAAAGTATAGGAAACAAATTTTATTATATACAGATGAAAGCCACACTCAAATACTACTTTTCTACATAGTCACCATACAAATTAAGGCATTTATCGTAGCGATGTACGAGCTTGGAAATTCCTTCATCGAAAAATTCGGCCGCCTGCGCCTTCAACCACTTCGTTACCTCTTCTTGCAGCTGTGCGTCGTCATCAAAACGCTGCATAGCCAGCCACTTCTTCATTGCTGGGAATAGGTGGAAGTCGCTCGGTGCCAGGTCGGGACTGTACGGCGGATGAGGAAACAACTCCCACTTAAAAGATTCAAGAACTTTACGAGTGACATTTGCCGTGTGGGGCCGGGCGTTGTCGTGAATCAACAAGATCTTAGAGCTCAACATTCCTCTGCGCTTGTTTTGAATTGCTCTTCTGAATTTTTGGAGAGTTTGGCAATACCTTTGAGAGTTTATTGTAGTGCCTCTTTCCAGGAAGTCCACCAAAATTACACCTTTTCTGTCCCAAAAAACAGTCGCCATCATCTTCCTTGCCGACATTGTTTGCATGCATTTCTTGGGTTTTTGGGGAGAACTTGTGTGCCCCCACTGCATTGATTGCAATTTCGTTTCACAGTTCACATGTTTCACCCATGTTTCGTCACCAGTAACGATGCGATCGAGTAAAGAGTCACCATCCTTATGGTAAGCGTCCAAAAAGTTCAACGCTGCAGCCATTCGCTAATTTTTGTGGTCTTCTGTCAAGATTTTTGGAATCCATCTTGCACAAAACTTGTGGTAACCAAGCTTTTCGCTGATGATTTCGTGCAACAAACTTCGCGAAATTTGTGGAAAACTCAAAGAAAGTTCCGTTATTGTGAAATTTCGATTTTCACGGACTTTAGCATCGACTTTTTCGAGAAGTTCGGCGGTCACTATGCTGGGTCTCCCACTTCGATCTTCGTCGTGAACATTGGTTCGGCCATTTTGAAATCTTATGACCCACTGACGCACTCCACCTTCAGTGATAATGTTGTCCCCATACACTTCACGAAGCTGCCGATAGATTTCTATAGGTTTACAGTTTTTTGCAGTCAGAAACCTTATTACTGAGCGCACCTCGCAGCTCGCGGGATTTTCAATTAACGCAGACATTTCAAACCGTCACAGTATCTGAACGGAGCACAGCACGAACCTCTCACTAGCACGGCTAGATGCAGACTGAGCTGCGCAACGCTCTGACCCCAAGATGGCCGCGCTAGCCCCGCCCCTAGCGGACACAGACGGAAACGTAATCTACTTCCTGGATGGCCCTCGTATACTATTTCAGCTATGTTATTATTTGAAAACTTAAGTTTTTTTAACAGAATAGATAAACAATTATAAGCTTAAATTTAAATAAGCAATATATATATATATATATATATGTATAATTAAGGTGGGGAACAATTAAAATACAATCTTATGTGACACTGGTTGTCAGTTTTGCATTTAGTTAAATGCAGTGGAAGCTTGAGATACAAGTTTAATTCGTTCCAGCATTGAGTTCGTATAGCGAATTTCTTGTATCTATAGAAACAAACTTCCCCATTGAAAATAATGGAAATTCAGTTAATTCTTTCCTCACCTCTAAAAATATCAATATAAAAATCAAGTTTCCTAATAAATAACACTGGTAAATAATATAACAGTAGTTTATCTTTATGATAGCTTCTGACACTGACCTTTTAACTGCTTCTCATTAATCCACACCAACAACAGCTTCTCAACATCTAGGAGTTTAGGATGGTGCTTGGAAGTAATTTTAATCCCTCCGGCTACATCAAGTTTCTTAATTTCTTCCTGCTTCTTTAGAATGGTGCGGGTCATTGATGTCAAAAGGGAGTAAGTCTTCGTCAATTCTGTCACTCTTATACCATGTTTATGTTTATCTGTGATATCTTTCTTAATTTCAATGGCCATGGCTTCCTTATTTTTCTTTGCAGCACCATCTGAGGCAACCTTCTGAGCACCTTCTTGAGAGATGCCGTGAAATAAATATTTTCACGTTAAATATAATAAACAATTAACTCACAAGTGCACAAACACGTAGATCAAAGAACACCGAGTGATCTGATAAGGGGTTACCCGAGTCCAGCCCTATTGAGAAATGGCACTAGCATAACAACAGCCTGGCTCGTTGCTAGAGTCAGTGCTCGTATTTAGAGACAAATGTTTCACTCATACTTTCCTCATATCTTGAATTTCTCGTATATAGAGGTGCCCATATCTCGAGGTTCCACTGTATTAGGACTAGACATGAATGACATGTTTGTTGTCTCTTTGTGACAAAGAAAGAACATATTATGATGTAAATGTGAAAAACTGCTTCTTGAAATGCACTGTACATTCACAGTTGAATCTAAAGCCATTTTTTAACTGAATTTCGCATATTTTTAAAGCTGACAATTATTTCTTACAAGTTCTTATAGAATTCCAAATAATATAGCAAAGGATATTTTAAGATGTATGCTTTTTGAAGTGTACTAATTTAAATTTTTAATCATTATTATCTTTCTTTCTTGTACAGTTCTTTAATAAAAAATTTTTATTTTTCACATCGTTAATTGTTTTTTCCTCTGGTTTTTATGAGTTTATTTGTATTTTTAAAGTGTAAAATATTTGTAATTCATTCTCATAGACATCATTAACGCAACTGTTTGAAAGAAGAAAATTAATATGGTCTGCATCAAATACTGAGAGACAAAAAATTAGCGTAGTTTAATTTATAGGTTTGTGGTTAAAATACATTAAATTTGTTTCATCTCAATATTTCAAAAATTCAGCTTTAATTTAAAAATTTTCTTACATTTCTTGCATATTATTTTGATTTCTTTTGAATCATGTTAACCCTTACTAGGACGACGCGGCATGCGACGAAGTGAAAAGTTCCTTCGTTGAAACTGAATTCGTTGCTACTCATACGCCACTTTATATTCCACAATTATTTTTGTATGTCTGAACATTGCTAAGAGATAGTGCGACTAGTCCTAGTTTCTTCACAGTTTTTGCCGTGAGATTTCCTACCTTGAATATCTGCGTGAAATCTGTTAGAATATGTGTAGAAATTTAAAAAAACCATTCCAGATATTTTTGATATTCATAACCAGTTTTTTTTTTTTGATAAAGTAAGCAAAAAAATTTTTTTTGTTGATTGAATAAATGATTTTGGTTTTGTGATAAATGTGGTTTATATGCTTTGATGTCCAAGGCAGGTTGTAAAGCTGTTTTAACGGCAAGGTTGGAAAACCATTTTCTAAAGCATTTTTATGTAGTTTTAATAATTATTTTAAGTAGATATTTATATTAAACATATCAAAACAATAGAGTTAATAAATATAGTATATAGTATCGCACTGTTTTTTTTTTCTTCTTTTTTGTTCTTTTTTAAATCTAAAACTTGAATGCTTTACAGGGAAAACTGGTGATCGGTTGATGGGATATCACATATTTGACCACCCATAGGTCCATCAAAAACTGCTTTCTGTGAAGAATATTTTGCATTTTCAAATTTAGGAAAGAACATATATTAATTTTCAGCAATAAAAAATGCTTTTGGGTCAGAAATTTGAAAAAATATCCAACCAAGAAGGGGAAAGTTTGCTATTTCAAACACTTGCCTTTTTCCATTTATGCAGGGCCCACCAGCGGCCGAGCGGTAAAGACGCTGAACACTGGTAGTTCGGTCTGAGGTTCGGATCTCGCGAACAGGCTGGCCGCAAGGGCGTTTTCGTGGTTTTCCCCATGTGTAACGTGTATACGAGCCAGTTTCCATTAGAAAGTCCTCCACGAAAGGCATCCCTCCCTTTAGGCAGATAGCCCTCGTGTGCTTTGCCGTAACTGAATAATCCAATCCAAAAAATCCATTTATGCAGGAATAGCAAATCTTATCTGAAATTTTCCCTTTCAAGTTGTTTTCGATTTGAGTTAACAAGACTGATATAGGAGAGCAACACTCTTTTCAGTGGAAGATCACACATCATTAATGAAGAGTCTTATCAAGTTGTAGATCTGATTTATTATATTACATTAAATATGACAATGTCTCATTGACAAAGGTGAAATGAACAGATGCATCTTACTAAGCATACCTAATAAATGCATAGAAAATAGGAATGCTCCATTTGTCTGCTGAAATTGCTTCCTTTAAGATTTTATTTAAATTATGAATACTAACATTTCTAATAATTAATAATTTATTTTTCTTACATTTTGTTTTATTAAATGTGCACTGATAATTTTCATAAATTTTAAATATTATATTCTCTAACAGAAAATGTTTGCACAAAAATTAGCCAAAAGACACCATTAAGTGAAAAGCCAGAAACTCCAGTTTTCGTTGGCACTGTGTTTATTATGGCTTTAGTATATGCTATTTACGTTTAAATCATCTATGCAATGGCATGATAAAGGGGAGCCACTTCTGCCACATTTTACAGTTGTAGTCTGTTTGTGTGTATGCATATTACAGTTGTAGTCTGTCTGTCTCTCTCTTTCTGTATATATATATTGAAAATAAAGCCCTTTCTTTTGGCATCAAAGCTGAGTTGTTTCCAATACTTTAGAAAAGAGAAGGCAGCATTGTCAGAAATCAGGATAAAATTTTCTTTGATTAAATTATTATTGAATAGCTGTTGAAGGCTCTAAGCAAGGAGTGCCTTCATGGCAACATTTGTAAGGTTAGAAGGAGGGATATCTTCACGAGAACTTAAAGGATATTGGTATTTTAGTTTGCTACATTATTTTACACTCATGTCCATAAGTTAAGGATAATGCAAAATCAGACAAAGGAAGAGTTAGAAGCAAAACAAATTTGATTTATTTGTAAAGCTTATTTATTAAACAAAAGGTAAAGAGCAAAAAAAGATGCTATATGTTTGATATTATTAAAAACATTAGCGAATTTTTCTCCCTGGAGCAAATTACAAAAAAAAAAAAAAAAAAAAAAAGAAAAAAACCCTATGTATAAAAAAACCAAAATTATATGGTTGGTATGATTTTTAATACATTGTATGTCTCCCAGACGATGCAATACAGTCTGTACAACGCCTAGGCATGCTGAGTATCAAATTATCGATCTGATCTTGGGGGATATTACACCACTCAAAAAGCAATGCTCTCCGAAGTTCTGGTAGACGGGCCGAAGTTCTCCGAAGTTCCGGTAGGAGGAGGTTGACGGGCTGCAACTCGTCGGCCAAGCATGTCCTACACGTGATCTACTGGATTCAAGTCCGGTGAGAATGCTGGCCAGTCCATACGGGTGATATCCTCCGATTGAAGGCATTCGCGTACGATGAAGATGGGCGTTGTCATCCATAAACACAAATTGTGCGCCCATGGCACCCCGAAACAAATGTACATGTTGTTCCAGAATGACGTCTTGATAGATTTGGCTAGTCATGGTTCCAATTTAAACATGCAGGTCAGTTCTAGAACCCAGAATAATTCCTCCCCAAATGAGCACTCCTGCACCACCGTAACGGTGCCGTTCAATAATGTTTTCTTGGTGGTAACGGGTACCTGGAGCTCTACATATGAAAGTCCGGCGTGAATTAGACTGCAAGCTAAACCACGACTCATCGGAAAACATCTCACAAGCCCACTGTTGCGGTGTCCACGATGCATGTTCTCTACTCCAGGCAAACCGCAGGGGACAGGGAGTTGTAGTAAGTGGAACGCATCTGACAGGTCTACGAGACCAATTTGCCCTAAGCGTCTGTACACGGTCTGTCTTGAAATTGTCGTACCAGTGGCTGAAGAGAGCTGACGAGAGAGATCTGAGGCTGTGCTCCGCCTGTTTCTCTTGGCAGTAACTGCCAAATACCGGTCCTCATTCGGCGTTGTAACTCTGGGGCGACCTGTGCCGTAATGCCTACTCACATTACCATCATCTTGGAATCGTTGCCCAAACCTAGAGATGACACTCTGGCCAATTCCAAGTTCGTCTGATACTTCCAGTTGGGTACGCCCACATTCCAGACAGCCGATAATTCTACCAAGTAAAAAATCATCCAAATGCGTCCTTTGTGTCATAACTATTTGGTTATTGCACTGAAATGCTTATAAAGCGCCTGCGAACGATTTTAGTTCTTTGCCTGTATTTTTTATATAACCCTCTCTTACACTCTCATCATTGTGATGTACCATCGGTGTCATCTGGTTACTTCCTGAAATTTGCATATGATTCTTGAAGATGTGTGTAGTGATTTTACAGGTGATATATTTATTCTAGAGTTCGATTTCCGTGTGACTCTTGAATTATCCTTAATTTATGGACATGAGTGTAATATGGAATCAATTAATATGAAATCAAATTTATTGAGGTGTGCCTATAGTCTTAGAAATTGAAGAATTTGTTAATTATTCAATATACCTAAATTATGTCATCTTATAAGTAAAGTAACATATTAAAGCAAGTTTCAAAATAATAGGAAAATATCCACTTTTTAAGATACCTCTATCATTATTACTTCCAAGCTGTTTCTATCTTAATTTAAAATTTTCGGTTTCCTGGTAGGAGATGTTGGGTTTTATTCTAAAGAAGGAATTAGATTTTATTGGACATCTTATTTCAAACTAAAAATTTGTACATTTACATTAATTTTTAAAGTTTCAGAAAGTAAGATAATCTGATGGTGCAAAATTTTTGAGAATATAGTTAATGTGTTAAAATTTTTAATTTTACTTGTTTTAATTTTTGCAGTATTTCTAGTGTGTTTTGTTATGTGAAAAAAAAATAGACTCCTTTGTTGATACATACTATGTTTCATGTGTAGTTTGCTTAAGCTGCGACAGTTATTTACTATCCTGCTGTTACATGTCCCCTCCAAGAGGAGGTTAATAATAGATAACTCCATATTCCAGTATAACAATTAATTCCTGAAATAGCTTTATCTTTAGGTGAAGGCTTCCTTTTAGTATTGCTTAACCCCTTACTGTTTCTTGTTTCCTTACTGTCATGTAGTTTCATGGCTCATGCTAATTTGTTGAGAGTTTTTTCTTTGAGACTCTTGTAGAGAAGTGAGAAATACATATTTCATTGTTTCAAATTCATACCTATTAATTTGTGTGGTACTTACTCACTTTCACTTTTAGAATTTTTTCTACAATTTTTACATGCCAGTGGACCATTAAATAGGCTGAATAGATTTGCTCAAACTGATCATCTATCTTCAAGCTGTGTTTTCCGTACCACTGCATGTAAGGGAGAAAAATGTATTATGTGTGGGATGATCCATTTTATCAACAAAGACTAAAAAATTTTTTTCTTCACAGGGAATTAATGTTAAGATTTTAAGTTTAGTTTAATATATGAAAAAAAGATGCATTATATCTTTTATAAAATACAAATCTTGCTAATTTCATGTAGTATGACAGTGGAGAACCAGAAAAAGTGTTATCTGAAGTAGAAAAATGGCGTCAAACTGTTATTCCTCGGTATCCCGATCGAATGATAAAACTTATGTCTGTGGATTTGAGTGGAAAATGGATATTCATTACTCGATTTCTGCGTCCACTCGCTCCTCCCGAAGAACTGGTAACTGGCAATAAGGACTCAATTGAAACAATGGTAAGTCTTTTATAATTTTTTTTTTATTTAAACGTAGTTTAAGCAAATTAAGAATGATGAAATTTTTCCTTTTACATTTTTAGTTATTTCCTTATTGCACTTTACATTTTGCTTAGCTTTGTAAAAGTAATTTCTTAAGTTGCAATAAATGTTTATGTTTTTCATTGCAACAGAGAATATAGAATTTAAAAAAATTATTGTCAATGCAGATTTGTATGTTTTAAAAAATAATTAAATTACCTATAAATTCATCCCCCTTGAATGTAAAAATATGTTTCAAAATATCAGCCTATGTTTTAATTTTCAAAATACTCATTTTCATGAAAAGTACAGCAGTCATACACTTTTTTTTTTAATATAATCTCATTTTAAAATGCAGAAAGTATTGACCACTACTCCTTTCCTTTCATATTAACATTACTTACAATTCCTATAAATCAATCAATATGTCAACTTGTTCAATATTTTGCAAGTTTAGCATAAAAATTGTTTGTAAAAATTTTTTTCCATGCTGTACATTTTACTTGGTGTAATGGTTTATGCTTTCCTTTATTGTTGTTTTGCATTTATTATAATTATAATTTAAAATTATATCTAAGTATAGAAAATATTTAAATGATAGTGAAATGAGTTTTAACTTAGACATCTATTGGAGGGATACAAAAATGGTAGTTAAAAAGAAGAAAATTTTGTTGTTGAGAGCGATAAAGGCTTAAATTACAATGAGATGGAATTGAACCATAATATTCTGAAATAATGTTACCCAATGATGGATGACTTTACTAATGATGAAATGAAGATAATTTCTGTAAATAATAAAAAGTACCATTATGTAAATCTTATGTCAGGGACATTTCTGAAGAAATTGAAACATTTTTATGAATAGTTGAAAGGAATGTGGTTAATGAAACGTAACACTATTCTAGTCTACGCTATTGAACATTTACCTGAAATGCAGGTAAAATTTGAAAATCGTAATGCTCAGTTATGTAAACAACAGCAGTGTTAGTAATTTAGTCTATAAAGATAAGGAAAAACACTAATTGACATTCCAAATGTTAGCTAGGTTCAATATGCATCTCACTTTACCTGAGCATGTGCTACTTGTGAAATTGTTTTATTGTTATCAATCAAACACAGCTGCTACTGGTGATGAGTTCAGAAGTCATAACAACTTATGTAAAGGCCCTATATCAATTAATGCATTGAAATGCATTCCTCCAGAAGAAGAATCAAGATTCTTAGCTGTTCATTTTGGTAGAGAGCAGTAACCAGATTCAGACCAGACAGTTACTAATGCCAGAACTGCAAATTTGGATGGCATCCATGGGACCGTTGCTGGTAGCAGCAGCGCCCGGGAAACGGCATGAGAATTGAATTTGAATCTTTCTTTGGTATGGGAAATGTTGTGGAAAGTTCTGCACTCCTACCCAAACAAAATAAGCTATGTGCAGGAATTAAAACACAATGATTATGAGAAATGGGTGGCATTTGCTCTGACATTTCTTCCCAGGATGAAGGTTGATGATGCTTAGCCTTGGGAAAATTTTATGGGAAGGTGAGCCATTTTCATCTAAATGGGATTATTAACATTCACATTTCTTGATTTAGGGCATCAATTCCATGCAGTTCAGAAAGTCCCTTTGCATTCACAAAATGTCATTGTTCGATGTTGCTCTCAGCAGATTTCATAAGCTGACCATTCTGTTTTTAGAACTTTATTGTACCTGTACCATTACTACTCAAAGATATCGTGATATGCTGACAAGTTTTGTCATTCCACAACTTCAGCAGAGGCAGTTGCTGCATCAGTTAATTTTTATGCAAGATGGAGAATCACTTCACATTGATCTATCAATACAGTGGCTGTTGTGGCATCACTTTGGAGTTTCAACCTTGATGACCTTAAAGGACAGCATGATATGGGCTGTACTGAGCACTCCTGATAACATGTTATGTTCAGCCATCGCGAATGTTATGTACAGAATGTAATGAAGAAGAAGAGTGGTCACATTGAAAGACGTCTATATCCATGCCAAAGAAGTGCTTTTATTGAATAAAGTGCTATAGTACACTGAAATATCATCGCTGTAACCTTCTGGGGCAGTTCATTTGCTGTATTAAAGCGGTGTTGCCATGAAATTTCTTCTTTGCTATTGATTTGTTTAGTTCTCAGCTATGTAAACTAGAACAAGCACTACATTTATCCTATTGGCAACTTTTATCATTATTTTTTTCAAGGATTCTTTTTTCCTATGTCATCATTAGTTCCTGTACTAAATTTGGTGGCATTCCAGGTGATAGATCGAGCTACATTGATCTCTGAGTAGTGTCAGTTTAAAAACAAACACCCTGTAGTTTAATACTTTATCGAGTCTTTAATAAGTATAATTTTGTGGCCATTTTCCGAACATGGAAAAAGCAATAACTCCATAACTATAATTTCAACAAAGAATGTTAGAAAATTTATTATTAATAAATTTTATGGCCATCAACAATATACTGTGGCTTGTAAAACTTAAGAAGAAATAGTACGATTTTCATCTACAGTATTAATTTGGAGTAACTTGAATTTGGGAGGATCATACATGAGGTACTTCAGGTGATATTGAAGTGTTGAGGAAAATAAAACATTAAAAATAACAGATTCAAAATACGCAAATAAATTTTACTCAAAACTAGTTATATTGTGTTCGTTATAGTGATACTGGTATTTGCTGTCAGAAATTAAACAATGAGATTACCTTAAAAATACAGCGCATATTTTGCATTGCATATACATGATTTAAATAGTATTATGGAAACTCATTGCAATAACTTTGTCTGTTCACCTGTCAACTCTTTTTTTTCCATTGTCGAAAAGTTATTAATTGTTGTGGGTATGTCATGAATGTGTTCCCGAAATATTTCAGATGTCTTCAGTTACATTCAGATGATGTATGAATTTGAGGGAGAAGAGAGCAGGCCAAACCATTTGAGCAATATTATGACTTTCTAATTGCATTTCAACGACTGCAATACAATGGGATGTCATACTATCAAATCTAAAGATTAAAAGGAGGCCAATGCACATGAGAAATAATGGCATTTACATGTTATACTGTACTAGAATCCATTATCTGAAGCTTTGTATGTGCATTTAGCATAATTCCTTCTCTGGGGAGAACATTTGAATTACTAAATTAGTCTATTTCAGTAACATCTGCAGGAAGAATATCGTGTACCAGTTTCTTGCCTGTTTAGCTGATTTATAGATTTACTACTGAGACTAAATCTCTTCTGATTTGTAAACAGCACCTTACAACATTTCAGTATTGTTTTGTCTTTGTGTTCATTGAAATATTGCAATAGATGACACCTAGAAACTAATGTTAAAAAATTTAATTAGACTTAAATTTTCAATAAGACGTATTGGCTACCAGGATCATACTGATCGTTTGAAAATTTATTCATAAGTACTTCTGCTTTTATTGTTGTGACTAAAATTTTAATATTCACCAGCTTCCTAAGAAAAGTGCTTTAAAATTTCCAAGCTTTTGAAGTGTAAGATTTGTGTAAGGCATCAGCCTCAGTTTTAAAGATTATGCTTTCAGATATAATGTTGAGGTTGTAATGCTTAAAAATATCATTCCTTTAGTTTTGCATGCCATTGTATACTTTATGAAGTAAATTAGTTGATAAGAGAAAGAAAATGAAAAAAGAGTTAAAAATCTTTTAAAGGTATGCAGTAACTATAGCATGCTAATAAAATTTTTAATGAGTTATGGGTTGTAGTGAAAATTCTTGGTAAAATGTTTTCCTATAATGCTTGCTTTTAGAGTTCATATTATCATACAGACTGATGCATAGCACAGAAATATTTTCATAACGAAAGTATTTTATGATCCAGCAAAAAAATTTGAGAAGTCCTGGACTAAAAGATTTATACAGCCTTCTGAAGATCTTAATAAGTTTACAGTCTTTCAGAAGTACTGAAGAATATTCTAATAGCATACTAGTTCAATCTTCAGCATAAAGGAATGTTTAGACATATTATCATGAGAAATTATTAAGATATTACTCTATAATCCAGTAGAATTTTATATTTTTGTACAATTCTATTGAAAATTTAAATGAGATTTGCATACAAATTAATTATCTTACTGAATAAAATTTTGATTTCTCTTTAGGAACTTTTGGCTCGATTTGTCTCCCTGATTCCTACAGTATCTGACAGCATTGCTTTTCCAGGATTATGTGATATATGGAGTACATCTGACGTAAATATGTATACATGTATTTATATATGCTTGTTTAGGCAAAACAACAACCTTATGTTTGGCATAAATTTTAATTGAAATTATGTTAGTTTCCGGGGCAAACAGGTACAAGTCCCTCTTTATTAAGAGCAAAAAAATTTTGCAAAGAAGGTTGATATGTTGTAAGTTGATACTAAGGTGTATTGTTTCACCAGGAATACAGTTATTAATATAGCTCTTGCCTGGAATCGGAGGTGATTCTGTTTTAGGCCTGATGAGATGAACATGCATGAAATGAGCTTCCAAAGAGAACAAGTTAACATATGGAAGGGAAACTATAGTGACACTTTGCCCACTGTGAGAAAATAATCTGAACCTTTTCAATAAAGGCTGAAGATTCTTAAAGATTTCATCTCTGATTTTGGTTCTTGGGAATTTCTAGCATATCTTGTCAGTGATATATAAGCCGGACTAAAAAAGTATTAAAATTTTGGGTATTAGAACATGAATTTTGTGTCAAAAAGAAGAAATAAACAAATGTTTGATAGCTAATAATAGATAAAAATTCAATCAAAGTCTGCAAAAGTCATGCATAAAACTTCTTCAATTGGTGAATTGCATTCTCTTAAAGCTTTTCACATTCAAAAAAATTTATCTTGGTTAGTAAATGATATTAATTCCAATCAAGTCCTTCATAGTGTTTCTAATATTCTAATAGCTTAATTTTTTGTTTTTGTTTCTCAGCCAAGACTACATACTCATGAATTTACACATTTTCTTTTAATCAACCATGAACTCCAACTATCCCTATATGGGTAAACTTAGCAAATTAAGATCCTACAGCTGACACTCCATACAGTTGACCAACGACAATGCATCATAATTCAGCGTACTAGCTTGAATGTATGTAGTGTAAATAGCTGTATATATTTTTCTCATTTCTTCCTTAGAATTGCACATTGTTAATAGTATTTGTGTTGTTTTCATATACTGTGTATTTCTCTATTGCTACAAACAACTCAAGATTCTTCCATTTATTTCTGCCATGATTTTTAAGTCCATTTTATTACAATGTCTGATCTCAAGTCTAAAATCACCACAGGGGGATGGCGACATATGACTGTAGCATTCCCATACTGCCCACACTGCACTTATCACCACCAGCTTGAACATACACCATTTTCTTGCCGTAAATGGTGGCACTAATTAGTGCTTATTTTCTAAATTACTGCTAACTGCCCCTATGCACATGCAAATTATAGGTTAAAGACCACAGTTTCTAAATGCCTACATACGTCATGATCAATAGTCCCTTCTTTCAACATTCTTTTGTTCCTGATAAAGAAGGACCCGTATCTGTTCTCTCTTGAAATCGTTTTAGTTAGAGTTTTAAGTAAAATCTGTGCCAAACGCAAGGTTGTTGTTTTGCCTAATTTTAGGTTTTATTTTCTGTGTTTTTTTCTTTGTTGATGTGCTTGTGTATTTGTAATATATTTATAAATTATATTTCTCTTCAGTGGTATGTTAGGAAGGTGTACAAATGGTGAAAAAATAAGAAACACACCAGTTATAGAAATAGTTAAGGCTCTTAAAACTCCCACGATTTTTTTTTTTTATTTAGAAGTTGAAATCAGATTTCCATTACATTTTTTTAATATTATGGCAAAATTTATTTTTTAATAATGTGATATTTGACACATTATGAGTTTTTTAACATTTTTTGGTTTACAACTGCATGTGATTGGAAACAGTATGTAAATTTAACGAGATTTTACAAAAAAAGTCATTTCATGATTTTTTTGAAGACTGAAGATCAAAAGCATTTAATTAAAGGAATGAGTAATAAAAAAATCAGAAACTTTAGCAAACTAACTAGAAGACAATGCCTCAATCAGCAACCAGTTAAATGACAAGATCTGTAGTATGGTTTTAAATCCAAAAAAATCACTACTGATAGTGAAGAAAGTGACAGAAAAGTTTTTAAAAATAAAAAGATTTCAATTGACAATTTAGTCAGAATGCTCAGTTGGCAGTTACAGGACTTGAATAATGAAATTTTGTAACTGAACAAAAAATTACGTTGATCTGTAAAATCAAAGAGCAAATATTTGCGTAAAACATTAAACAGCTTAACAATTTATATTGAGAGAAATGTTTAAAAAAACAATAAATAAATATTGAATTTTTTTGTAAATTTTGACTCCCTTAAGATCATAAATGCTGAATAATGGAACTTTGTAAATGAAAAAAAAAATATCTCTATCTGTAAAATTAAGGAAAAAGTACTGGCACAAAAAATGAAACATCTTAACAAATTTACAGAGAGAAATGTTTAATAAAACTGACAAATAAATATTGAGCCTTTTTTTTTGTAAATTTTGTTTCTCTGGAGATCATAAATGCTTAGTTATTTCATAAATAACTAATTCTTGTTTTTAATTTTATAATTTCTATATGTCATCTTACTAGATTTAAACTGGCAATCAAAAATCTGGAATTGTTGACGATTTTGTATCTCGGACTTTGTACTCTATATGCAGTGCATTTTTGAGTTCATCACATGTAAATACAGAATTATATATGAAAAATATTATATGTGAAAATGTAATTATATATGAAAACTATTTATCAAATGTATATTGTAGCAGGAATATTGTGTTTAGTTTTGTTTATTCTATTATAGCAATTCCTTCAAATGTTAACTGGGGATGAAGAGGAACATGCCATTCTTTTGTGCAATTATTTCCTTCATCTTGGGAAAAAAGCAATGCTGCTGTTAGGGTCTGGAGTCCCAGAAGGACCAACGGCTTATGTTGCTACTTGGGAGAAATCAAAAGATGTGCTTGTGTGGAATGCTTCAACTGGAGATCATTTCAGTGTCAGAGATAATTACTGCCCCCTTCAAAGTGTTGGATGCTTAATCAGTCCAGATAATGTAATATGCATTTTGAAATATTAAACAAATAAACTGAAATATTTAAAATGCACTATTATTCATTTTAAATGAGATTTTTTTGTGTTATATTCCAAATTACAATTGTCCTCCAATAAATGAAGTTGCATTAAAATTTTGTTTTTGTATTATTTAAAATTTTATTTAAAATTTTTTTTTTTATTCTTATATATATATATATATATATATTCAAAAAATGAAAAGTTATTATTATGAAAAATGAATGACATTAAGAAAGCTGTATAATTCTATTTTATTTTATTTTAAGTGTTCATAATGTGAAGTATCTCCAATTATTCAGAATTAATTTCATAACTAGTATTCACAATGTTTGTAATATTATTTGAACAACATACTGTATTTTTAAAATGCACTACAAGGCTAAGTGTTTGTGATGATGGCAAAGACTCGAGGGCTATCTGCCTAAGGGAAGGAATGCCTTCGTGGAGGACTTACTAAGGGAACCTGGTTCGTATACATGTTACACAACCACAAGGTTTAGAAAGTCACAAATATTATTTTAAATGATGAACATTTAATTATATGTTTTCATGAAGAGAGAAAGATCTCTTAAAGATCTTATCTCTAATTTAATTTATGAAGGATGTGGTTACAGTAAGAACATAACAAATGAAAAGTAGTCGTTGATAAACTGTAAGAAATTAGCACAATATTAGTTCTTTAAAAGAAACTTACATTTTGATAAGAATTCATAGTAATACTATTATACTTTCCTGTGATTTGAATCTCATCCATTCTTACTGCTATCTCTGCCACTCTTTAGACTTCAAACAATCCATAAATAATTAGAGAAGGAGAATGTGCAGCTTTCTCATCGAAATCATAGACTGAATGTCAGTTCATGTTTCCTTCGCAGTGATTGGACATTTCTTGTTTTAGGCTGGCATAAAGTTCAGCAGTTAGAATGGAAAGGTTCAGTGTAACCTTTGAAGGTAGTTTGCAAGGGTTTGTCTTTGTTAGTAAGACAAGAACTAGTACTACATGCACAAATCTATTTAAAAATTTACAGGAATTCATTCTTTGTATGCATTGAAAAAGGGGACAATTATGCAAATATTTTTAGAATCTTCAGACTCTGGCTCTAAAAAGGTAAGGGAGAGAAATATGGTATGCCTTATTTGTATATGTAAAATGGGATAAATTAATAATCTGGGTCTGTTAGTTTGTAATACAACATGTATATATTTACATTTAAAGATAACAATGGTAAATTACTTCAAAGAATTATTTACATAAAAATCTGAAATGAATAATTATAAATAATGCTTAAAAGCAAAAAAATGTGTTACTTAAATATAGATGTGTTATTCTTTGTGTTTCAGATTACATTTAAATAGCATGCTTACTAAGTTTCTTTCAAAAGCTTCCATTTATAATCCACCCATTTTATCAGAAAGGCCAAAAAATATTCTTCTTTGAATTCTAACTGTATAAGAGGGAGGCAGAACTTTGTAAAACTTCTGAAAGAGTTTTAGCAAGGGAATGTTTTCAAATCATTTTGAACGTCTAGAACTTAAATTATATCTTTGATATATTTATTTGCTGTATATGCCAACAAGTTCTTCAAGATCTTCTATTTCATTAATAAATTTTAAAAGATTATTCTAAAAAATGTAGTTGTTAAATTAAAAAGTGGATATATTAAATAAAAAAGGATTTAAATAATCATAATATTGCTCTTTATTGCATACAAAAACAACTAATTTCCATGGCATTTGAAACAAAGAATAATTCTTTTTGCCTTCAACTAGAAGTGATATTATTATATGCTATGCATAATTTTCTTAGAATTAAAAATTACAGTATTTACTTATTTGTTTTGGTAAGACATTCCAGCTAGTATTTGTTATGATTTATAAAATTTGATTTGACCTTTCTTTAATTATTTATTTTTTCACTGTGCTTTTTTTTTACTTTTTAGGTTTGGGCCAATATCCAAAAGAATAATCATCCTTCTAGAATAAATTTTGATTTGAATAAAAGTGGGGAATGGAAACCATTTTTTAGTCGTAGCTTTCCGAATCTTGGACTAAGAAGTATACAGGTATGTGTATTACATATAAATAATAAAATGAGCAAATTTTTATTTATACTTTTCCATACTGAGAACCAAGAAAAATCAAATCTACAAATGAATTAAAAACAGAGAATTAATAACAATATTCTGTTAATATTTTTGCAAGACATTCACACAGATATTACAATTTAATCAAATTTCAATTTAAAATTCTTAATACCATATTATGTTTCTAATCTTGGGCTAAATTTTACATACAAGAATTCTAATACTTTATTAACATTGAGCCTGTTATTTTGATTAGCATAGATATTTAGGAAGTTTGTTTAAATGCATAATATTAAAAAAAAAATCTGTGCAATGTGTGAACATTTTAATTAATGTATTAATAATTAATTCATTTTGCAAATGATAAACATGAAGAAATCAAATTTACTTCTGAGTAATTTTAAATTGATTATCTTCTTAAACTGGGCTCACTTTGGAACTACTGGTATGAATGGGCTGATAAACTAGCTTAAAAAAAGACTGAAATTTTGCAATCAAATAATAGTGGTGTACCATTTACATCAATGAAAAACATAGTAAACAATACCCAGAGGAAAAATTTTGAAGTTAAATGATTTGAAGAAATTAAGAATAAGTGGAAGGACTCAATTTGTAATATGCCAGACTCTCCCAGATCCATCGCAGTTGTGGCATTTCATTCGGAGACTGGGCATGATTATTTTGCTAAACAACTACACTGCATTGGTATATATGACAGTTCCTTGTGTCCAACCAGAATTCTGATATGGACAGAGATGATTTGCTAAAATGTTCCTCATTGAAGGAAGAAAACCTACACAGTCGCTATTGGTAGGCTAGAAAGTTGATGCATTTGACATCCAGAGACTAATTTATTATTATCAATGCTTAATGTAGTCATTTAATATTCTATTTCCCAGTTTTGATGTAGTTATTGTTCTTGTAATGAGGTTAATTACTGTTTTGTCTTTTGTATTTCTATTTTTGTATTTTTTTTTTCATGCTTTAATATCGTCTTTGATGCATGGGGGCCAATAATATATAATCAAGTGCCTTTGCAATAATAAAATAAAACTCCTTAAAATGTATTTTTATTATTTTGCACAGGAAAAGTCATTCATTCTTTTTCCTGTTTGGGTTGGTTCACTAAAATTATAAAATTGTTAAAATTCATTGATTTCAAAGTCCTCGCCCAGTTATGTCTGTTTGAGGCTTTGTGAAATGTTGTTCCTCAATTCTTTAAAATTCGGTTTAAAAAAAATTTTTTTTTTTTTGCTAATTATGCATTTAAGTGACTTTTTCTCCTTTTAAGCCAACTGCTTTAAATTATAATTCTACTGATCCTGATTATGTTAAAAATCTGGAAGAAGGCATACGAAATAATCTTGAAGAAACCATTATGAAATGGAGATACAAAACTACAACATCTTGGAATAGCAACTGCAATAAAGTTTTGTACAAAATATTAACCAGGTAGGTACATTTGCAAGCAGCAATTTCAAATAGGTTATTTATAAAATTATTTTCATATTTTATCTCAATGTTATATAAAATAAAACTTTAAAAGGATTTATAATTTGCCTTTTAATATTTTATTAATGTAAGTATGAATTAAAAGATTAAATTTGTATTAAATGTGAGTGATGAATTAAAACATTAAAATTTATATTACTGTAGACTCCACTTAATGTGATAATGCCTGTCCATCTGTTTTGATAATATTAAGTGATGAGAAAATATCTTTCAACATATTGATAGAATTTAACTAATTTAATATAAATATACCTAGAAACATATAAATACTTGCTTTTACTGCATTTTAATTAGAAAAAAGGTCATTAATAGTTGATTATCTACAATTGTTATATAAAAGTTCATTCGTGGACTGTGCATATTCATAATGTTTCCTGAAATTATTTGACTGATGCTGAACCCTAAAATTACTTCACCAATGTTGATCTTAATACCTGTAGTGCATCTTACCATTAAGGAAAATTCATCAATTTTGTCATTATCATCTTCAGAATTTTTATTGTATGATGTGTTTGAATTTGTTTGAGAAAGTGACTGTCAAGGTATCTTCTGTCATTGATGCTGCAACTTTAGTTTTTACACCAAAATTCACTCTATTGTTAAATTCGTCACATTTTATATTAGTTTGAGAATTTGAGACATTCTTTTCAGTTTTTCAACTTCTTCCATTTTATCATTTATTAAAATGTTTAAAACAGTTCTTTATTACCTTTTCTGAGACATGGTATCAACAGATACAGCAGCATATCAGGCAAGGCTAGTTTCCCTTGCTAATTAATTTGCATTTATATTAGTGTCATGTAAGTTATAAAGGAATCTAACACATATTTTATGACAATAATGTTCTTTCATCGCTGTAATAATCCCTTAATCATAATGACTGGATTATGACTTTGATATTTGTTGGCAAATATACAACTTCAACATGTTTAAGAGTGGCATTTATTTGCTGCACAATTTTCACGAAGAAGAAGGATATCATTCTTCAGTTTGTTATCCCATTTTAAAACTGTCAGGTACACAGATTATAAGTGTGCTATGTCATATCAACTGCTATTCTTTTTAAGCAAACTTTTTAAAGCGTACTTTTATAACCTGTTACATTTCTTAAAGTATGCTGCTCCAGTGTTTGAGCTAAAAGTGCATGTTGCATTCATTACAATCAATTTTGCATAAATTACAGAAATGAAGAATAATAAATGTAAGAAATATTTAACCCTTAAGAAATCATACTAACTGTATTGTATACTGCTGGCCACCGTAAATGCAGCACCCTGAAGGAAGCATGCAAATAACATGAAATTTACAACATGCATTAGAGGAGGTGAGATATGCAAATGATTAAAATTTCAGTGCAGACAGACATCACGTATGCCTGTGGCGCCACTTCAAAGCGCTATTTAAGGCTTTGAGTTTTTGACGATTTCAAGTTGGGCAATTGTGTTTTTCTTGTGGTTTTTCAAAAAAAAAAAAAAAAAAAAAAAAAGATTAATTATGCCTCATAGTAAACAGCGATCATTGTTTGATCAAGTATCCGAGTTCGACGAAGGATAGTGGCTTACCAAGAGTGTGGATTATCTTTCAGGGAAATTGGTAGTCGTGTTGGCTGAAACCAAACAACTGTAATGGAGATATGTGACCGTTGGATGCAGGAGGGTGCAACGGACCGACGTGTTTGATCGCATCCACCTCAGTGCACCACTTCACGTGATGATAGGAACATTGCACGCATGGCAGTGACGGATTGCTCAGTCACATCACGAACCACAGCACAGCACATTCAGTCTGTAACGCATCATCCAGTGTTTATGCGTACCATTGGACGCTGTTTAGAGCAGAGTGGTCTGCCCACAAGATGTCCATTGCTTCGTCTACCCTTGACGCAGAACCACTAACATCTCTGCCGCCAATGGTGCGATGAAAGAAGGATGTGGACAGCAGAATGGAATGAAATTGTCTTTACTGACGAGTCATGCTTCTGTCTGCAACACCACAATGGTCGGATTCGAGTCTGGAGACATCATGGAGAGAGGATGCTGAACAGCTGCGTTTATGCATCGCCACACTAGTCCTGCACCAGGTATTGTGGTATGGGGTGGTATTAGATATCACTTCCTCTCACTCCTCTAATACGCATTGCCGGTACTTTAAACAGCCAGCGCTACATCCCCGATGTGTTGGTGCCAGTTGTCCTTCCTTAACTTCAGGGCTTGCCCACAGACATATTTCAACAGGATAATGTGCGACCACACGTGGCACGCATTGTCCAAGGGTTCTTTGTCAATCGCTATATTGAATTGCTTCCCTGGCCAGCTCACTCTCCGGATCTTTCACCGATAGAAAACATGTGGCCCATGGTTGCTGAATAATTGACCCAGATTACATCCCAAGCTGCCACACCAGATCAATTTTGGCAACGTGTGGAAGCTGCTTGGTCTGCTGTACCCCAAGAACACATCCAAAGTCTCTTTGAATCAATGCCGAGGCGTGTGGCAGCAGTGATCTCCGACAATGGCGGCTACTCTGGCTACTGATCCTGGAAGGAATTACAGTTCACAGAAGTCTATAAATTTAATCATTTGATACTTGATCAACATGTTATGAACTATAAATTTTGTTGTGATATCTCTTGTCTTTCTTGGTTCTGCAATTTGGGTGGCCAGCAGTATATATTAAAATTGACATAATTTAAACAAACTGAACAAAAATAATCTGAGAGTTCTCAGTGTCACATATCTAGTTGTAAGTGTAACATAATATATGTAACCATAACTGTACTATAGAATAGTAGCTACTAATAGTAGAATAAACAAAGTTTAGCTTGAAAGCTCACCTGTTTTATTCCTGTAAAATTGATAAATGTTATCAGCACCACACTTTCATTTATGTAGCAGTTTTATTATGTGAATTTATTTTAATGATACATTTTTCTTGACAACTGAATTTAATATCACTAAATATATTTATAATATATAATATACATGAATATAAATTTACATTATATTTAATTTATACTGCAAAGATTTTTAATGCTTTTGTTTATTACAGACTTGAAAGAAATGCTGGTAGAACAGCTAGTGATGATTCCTTGCAAGAATTAGAACAGATACTTCGTACGCATAAAGTTAGTAACATATTTTATATGCTGAAATAAGCTTAAAAATATTTTGAGAATTAATGAAATAGTATAATTAACATTTTGTAAAGTATTTAATATATCTAAATCTTTTATGCAAATTCAACTAAGAAGCAAAATCATCATTACTTTACAATAGTAATTTAAAACAGAATGAATAAATATTTCCCGTCCCATGTAAATTTTACATTACTTGATGTAAAAAAGATCATGAGCAATGGCCCACATGAATTTATAACTTCAAAATTTGTATAAATTACACAACAGAACAATTCATTAAGCATACATTTGTATATAAAATACATATTTTAAGATCAAATGACTTCTCTTCATCAATATTATTTTGCGTAATTTACATAATACTAGAGATTAAAATCGCAATAACAACCTTGTATTTAGCATACATATATTAAAACACTCAATCGATTTTGAGGGCAGTTAAAGGTCCCTCCTCATCAGGAGAACGAAATTAATGAGGAGGGACCTTTAGCTGCTCTCGAAATCGATTGAGTGTTTTAATATACGTACGCTAAACACAAGGTTGTTATTGCGGTTTTAATTATCACATTGGCATGTTTTTCTTCTATTTTAATATTAGAGATATTTAGAACTGAATACCACTCATATGATTCTCATACAGAAACTCCATTAATAATTGTTTTGAAATTTGAAAATTTTGACCAGGATTCATTTGTATTTATTAATTTTAATATTATACTTGTACAGTCAAAAGTCTTTAATCCGGACTCGTCGGGACTTTGGCGATTCCGGATTATCGATTTTTCCGGATTATAGATCATCAGTTTAAATCTGGCATGCAGAAATTATAAAATTAAAAATATGAAACCGTAATTTATAAAATAATGAGCAGTTATGATCTAAAGGGTATCAAAATTTACCAAAAAAGAAGCCTAATATTTATTTGTTTACTTTATTAAACATTTCTTTCAACGCGCGGATGCGTAAAGCATACCTTACGCATAGCCGAAATTAGAAAATTGCAACCAGAAAACTATTTGATTTGTATTCGTGATATTTATAATGACGAGGAATTTGATTTAAATCATATCAAAGACGGAGTACATCGAAATTAAATACTACATTTAGTAAGGAATTATAAGCACAATAAAATAAAAACATCTGCCCTGAAGATAAGGATAGTGTTGACAGATCAACTTCCAGTTCATTGCGCACCGCGACGTCCCCCCCCCCCGCGCAAAGCAGCGTGAAATTGATAAACAGATTTCGGAACGGTTAGATAAACAAAGAATATGCTTTTATCCATTTTTTGTAGCAATTCGTTTTTTGTTTGATGGACATCGAAACATACTTTCGTTTTCTAGATCCTTTGGGAGCTCCAGCATCGGAAATTCTATTTGACATAATCGAAAGTTCAAGCTTACTTTTAGAAAATTGCTCTTACAGTCTGCAAAAAATAATAAGCCGGATCCAATTCGAAGATTAAGGAACAACGCAATTATCAACATTAACTGAAATAGATAATTAGATAATTTTAGCTTATACCGTCCGTTATACATTAAACGCGCACGTGAAAACGTATTCTGCACTTGCGCAGACGCATATGCTCAGTCGTAAATGTCTTGCGCGCACGAGTAAAACGCCTATGCGCATGAGTCAATGCGGCGCATGCGCAGAAAGATTTTAGCTTTGAGGTCCGGATTATAGATCATTCCGGATTACGGGTGTCCGAATTAACGACTTTTGACTGTAGTAAATTAAAATTATTGAATAATTTTAAATTCTCATCATTTTTGCCTGATTTTAGTTGTTCAAACTTTCTCTTAGTTTTAGTAGTTTTGCAATTAAATATGATTTAATAATGATTTAATTTTTATGATTGCTTCATTGTTTATTATCTGCATAAAAGTTTTTTGCATTATAACTTCTTGGTCAAATCTACTGGTTTTCAAAAATTAAGGAAAAATCACAAGAATAGTGGATAACTCCTTCAAAAATAAATCCAATCCATATAAAATTTGAATATGTTGTCAAATAAGTACTGCTGAGTAAACCTGCAGTATGTAAATTAGTAGTGCTGCAATCAAAATACGTCATCTGTGAGGAGCATAAAATTGCATGTTTCAGAGTATGGCCACAGATTTCACTGTGATACTGAGATAAGAAATCTGGGGTAACCAATTATTAACATTGACCAAGCATCATTTGCCAAAAGAACTGCGATGGCAAGGTATTGGGAGACTAGAGGCAGGACAATCAGATAAAAGTGGCCAGATGGATAAATGTGAGTTCTTCTGTGGTTCACAAACTCACAACAATTTCTAACCACAGATTTGGCATCCAGGAGGTTCAGCCAAGGACACCCAACTACTACAATGAGTGCTGATGACCTATATATTATTATGCACATGAAGAGTAGAACCTCAATTCAACTTAGATCCTCCTTTGCTGCAGCCACTGGAAGGTTGGTGTCAACATCAACCATGTGTAGAAAGCTTCACAAAGGACGTTTGTACGCGAAGCAACCAGCCATTTGTGTTCCACACACGTCACGTCATAGAAAAAATATTTGAGGTGGGCACGTCAACATGTCTACTGGACAGCTGATCAGTGGAGGGTGTTCTCTATGGATGAATCCAGGTTTAGCCTCCAAAGTGATAGCTGGCACTATTTGATTTGGAGAGAACATGGAACCCATCATCATCCATCAAACATCCGTGAAAGAGATGAATATGGAGGAGGTAGTGTTTGTGTTTGTAGTGGTATCTCTTTGGGTGGATGCACAGATCTCCACATTTTTCCATAGGAACAATGAATGCTCATGCATATACATATGACATCCTTGATGTTTATGTGCACCCTTATGCCAAGGCAATGGCTGATAATTTCCTGCTACAGGATAACAATGCTAGGCACAGGGCTTGCATCGTGGATGATTATCTTTAGCAGCAAACAATTCAGCACATAGAGTGGCCAGCTCGATCACTGAACATGAATCCTATTGAGCATATTTGAGATGCTTTAGGAATACATATACTAGGTGCTCTCAATTCTTCTCTTTAGACCCTTGCCATGCTTGCAACTGCTTTGCAAGAGGCAATGGCTCTCACTTCCTACGGAACTGATAGATTGCAAAATTGACAGCATCATACATCGCTGTATGTGTTCTATTGCTTCTAGGGAAGATCTTACTCCATATTGAAGATAATTTTCCTATACCAAACTGACACATCCGATTTGTGCATTTTATGTATATGCTAATTTCTATAACACCAGAATTGTCTGGTAATTTCTTTTCATGTTTTTTTATACCTTACTATGTTTTGTATACTGTGAATCAGTTTCATTAAATTCCACATGTAACTTTTTGAGTAATCATCATTTTTGTGATTTTTCCTTAAATTATAACCAGTGTATATAAGCAAATCAGTTCCGGTAAAGAGAAATTTAGTACTTCAGAATTTATTTTCAGTATCTAATCTATTTAAATCTTGTGTGCAGTAGAGGACCTAATTTAAAGCAACAAAAATCAGATGTCTTTTTATCTAAACATTATCTAAATTTGTTAGGATCTAAAATGTTACATCTGCTGTGTAATATATTAAATAGCAGATCTGTACATTTAGCAATAAATATTTAGCATATGAATAATTTATAAAATAAATAAAATGTTTATGCAGTCAGCAAAAGATCAAGCTAAGTTATTTAGATATGTATAGTTTTAATTGCACTAAATAAAAATAAATAATGTAGTGACAGTGATTGAAATTAATAATGCCTGAATATTTATGAGGCATCAGCCAAAATGATGCTAGCAAGAAATGCAGTTTACATGTGGAAGCTTGTTTATTTTGATAAAAATTATGAGTTTTAATGAAGTTTTAAATTTATGAGTATTAAATAGCACCACTGATACTAAAATATTTGTTTTATTATTTATTTGATTATTAATTATGTAGCAATGTATTTAAATATATATATATATATGTATAATATATTTAAATATGTATACCTTCTTCAAGAAGAATTACTTTACTTCATTAAAATCTTACAAAGCAATCTTATTCCAAAAACAATCATTAAAAATTCCTTAAATAAAGCTGGCATTTACCTTTTATTTTAGGTTACTTGGTTTGGAGATATGAAATTTTTTACCCAAATCCGATAGGAAGGTAGATGATAGATGGCTAAATCAAGTGATTCTAATGTAAAAATGTAACATAGTTTCTTGATACTGCATCACTTTTTTCTCTCTTGAATTGGCACAGAACTTCAGTTAATTTAATAAATTTATTATTTAATATCCCTATCCTTTCATTAATTTTAAGGGCCAATTTCATTTCGAACTCGCTTTTTAGCTTTCTAGCGCGAAGAATTACGACTTTAACTAACAAATTGCTGATTTTTCCAATTTCAACCTGCTTTTAGCCAGATCAGCACTTTCTTTGATTTTCACCATTTTTTTTAAAGTCTTCACTTTTTAAAATGACTTAGTCTTGAGCAAGACACCATTTTGTAAGAGTTGCATCCTTCCTAACCCCCCTTTTGGCCCCTATGTTTTTTACCCCACAGACCGTTTAGTACCATTGGCTACTACACTTGTTTTCCCCTTCAACATCATCTCACCCAGTTGGTGAAATTTGACTGCTTTTCTATTCTGGAAGCATTTTTTTTATTTCATCTAATTCTGAAAACCTTTTTTCGCGACATTTATTCACTTTAATCTGAAAAGGCTATCGCAATAGACGCAGGTATGTCATTTGTTTTTTTTCTTCGCCTTTGGTTTTAGAAGGACCCATTTTGTGTCTTTTTTTTATTTTTAGCAAAGTTTTTAGTCTTCGATTTAATAGAGCTTACTTTTAATTATGTATTTTTATGACTAATAGCTTTTAAGCTGTTTATTTTAATTGTACATTTTTCAACCCAGGCTACCTTGTATAGGTTTTTCTTTCATCCATTTCATCGTTTTCTATTTTGTGCCTTAAGTTCAATTTTAATTTAAATTGCAGGCACGTCGGGAAAAGAGATGAAGCTATTGAAACATAGCTAAAATAAGATAATTTAATTAATGAATTACCACTTTCAATCTCAATTGTTTCGTTTGACGAAACATGCCTATGGTATTAGCTAAATTGGAGTTTTCTCACACTTTTCCCTTGATAAGTCTGTGTGAAACCTCGAATTGGGCTAATTGACTATTTATTGCAATTCTTTGTATATAATTTCTTTTTCTTTAAAATGTTTTTGATTGTTTGCAAACAAAATATGTTTTTTAGATTTTAAAAATTTTTTTGGTCTTTTCTATTTTTCAATTTTGTTTTTGTAGTTTACATGGTTTAGTAGTTATTACAGCAAGTTTTTTCACGTAAACTTTAACTACTTTAGTATTGTATTATTGTTTGTACTTGGTGTTACATGTGTACTCTGGAACTGCAGTATCAAATGTACTAAAGCATTAGCAAATTTTAACTTTCCTCTTCTGTGCAAATATTTTAAAATTTGTGGCCCAATGCGCAAATTTTTTTACCAAATAGGTCTCTCTTTTTAGTTTACTACTCTCTACTTTTATAATTATAAAATATATCAATTATATACTTATTAGCTCATCATTATTTCCTTTGGATTCAATAAATTTAAATGAAATTTCATATATTATTTAATAAATTGCAGCAACATTTTTGATGATATAATTATTCTGCTTAATAATACATATAATTTAAACTGAGTGTGGTACTTTAATTTATAAATTATTTTCATTTCCTTAAAATAAGAATTTTTTACTTAAAATAGATTTTTTTCCTGTTTCGAATTATTGAAGTAAATAGATTTAACATTGGTTTTAGTGACCAGAAATGTTTTCTTACTCTAATGTTTTAAAATACTTCTGGTTATTTCGTTGTTATTATTCTTTCTATTATTTTAATATGGTTCGTCTGCCTTGATTTTGGTAAGATATGGGCATGTACAGTGCAACTTTAAAATTTTAAATAAATTCGGAATTTGGAGAAAGCAACATTCTTACTGTTTAACTTTTAATGTGTAATCTTTGGAAGTCTATAAAACATTTGGCATGTTCATACAGCTACTTGTTTTGTATAGAACTCATCTTTTGGAAAAAATTTTAACACCATAACTGCTGCATGACCAATCAGTGGATCTGATAGATTTATTTTTGTGTGTATGTGTGTGTGGGGGGGTCATGTGATCCTCATTTATTATATTTTTTACCTCTTGTTTTTGCAGAAGTTTTTAATCCCAGAAATTTATAGTAAGTACAGTTCAACTGTGATAAGTTGGCAGATGTCCTTGGGGCCATTCAGTTTTAAGTAGGGGCTACTAGGTTAGGAATGCTAAAAGCAGATGATACTTGTCCACTGTAATTTTTGCAAATGATTCTTTTGATTGCAACTGTTATGCTTACTAATGGTTATAACTTTATCATCAATTTCAAATTATAATTTCTAACAACAACAGCAGCAGGAAAAAAAAAAAAAAAAAGCGATACAGCTATTTATAGTGATTTGATGCACAATACCATTTTGGGACTAATAGCCCTTCTGGGTTTATGCCCCTTTGGGCTAATGAATTTAAGTGATATTTATAATAGTTATGAAGATAGGTTACAGCATTATAATTATAAATGTTCCTAAATTTTTACATCTTTCATCAACAGGTGAATGGATTTCCTTTGACAATGCCATATACTGACAATGATGCTGTTGTGGAAAGTGTCTTTGCTACTGGTGTTCACCAAACAGAAGATAAAAATGCTGAATTTTCTTTAGCTGTATATATCCATGCATATCCTTGCTCAGTTCTGGCTGTATGGGTATATGTTGCCACTTTGATACGCCGCCGGAATTCAGATGACACAGAGTAAGATCAAAAACTTCAATATTTGGTAAGTTTCCTAACTTTGCAATTGATGATAAAAGTCATCTGATTTCCATGAGAAATTTTACCAATTTTATATTTTTAGTTTAAATTTAACTGAAGATATTACTACTTACATTTTATGGATTAAGCCAGCTAATTCCTTTCTCACTTTATCGATAATCAAAATTTTAGAAAATCTGAATCGTGGTGTGGTGTTATTTCATAATATGTATCTTCAAATGTGTAATTTTTCAAATTAGTAATGTAATTGTATTGGCTCAGTTTCTCTTAATTTGAAATAATATAACCCTTTCAGCCTTGGATTTGTTTTAAGAATAAGTGTGTGTGGGTTCTACAAAACGTGTCCATTGGCAGCATATTAAGAAGTTCCTACTTGAGTTGTAGAAACTAGACGTTGTGGCAGTTGCCACATCAAGTGCTGCTCATATTAATATATCCCAATATTTTACCTTCATTTAAACATTTACTGCTAATACTAAAAAATTCTGAGAGAGATTTATATAAAATGCTTTTATCATATTTATGGTGACCGGAAAAATACTCACAGGTATAAAAGCTCACAGGAAAAAAGCCCACAAGGAAATATGCCCACATAGGAAAAAGCTCACATGGACAAATGCTCACATTAACCTTTTCAGGGGCGATAAATAAAGCATGAACACTGTAGTAAAATTTTGCATGTACTGTAATATTTTATACCACTGCCCCTGTATGACATTTTTTTCCCCTGTAACTGCTAATAATTAATTTTTGTTTCTTTACTCTATTTTTGCATTTTTTTGATGTGTATCTGTAGAAATTGATGTTTGAAGGTCGTTTTTCAAGTTTTGAGCCAAAAAAGTTGTAAAATTTCTGCAGAAATTAAAAATTTTAGAAATAAAATTAACATTTTTAGGCACTTTTAATGATGCATCTCAATTGAACATAATGAAGCAGCCTTCAGAAAGTCTCCTAAAACCACAAATTGTTGCGAAGGCTCTCATAATGCACTAAATTCATTATGTAATTGTAGCCATCCCAGTATGTGGTTTTTATTTGACGGAGTGAAAAAAGATTTAGCCTCTCAACATTTGTTATTAGCTAATGTAAATACAGGATGTGCTGAAGTAGAAAAAAATAAAACATGAAAAACTTACATTTGGTAATCGTGAATCATGTTAGAAACTATGATGAAATCAATAATAAAATTAAGTATTTTAAGTAATTTTAATAAAATAACCATTCTAAATTCTCATTCATTATTCTTCTAAATGCTTATATTAAAAAATGTGTAACTTATATTTATTTTTTTTTAACAATTAAAATTTTAATAATTTTTAACTGTATAATTCTGTTTCATGTTTTCTTCCTTCCTCCTCTCCTTTTTCCTAATTCAAAACGGCCCATTTGTTAATCTTATGTAGCAACTGAAATCTAGTCATAAGTTATAAAGTTTTTGAATATATAATATACCATAGATGTTTGGTAATTTAAATGAATTTTTCTTTAGAAAACTTCAAGTAGGTGTATGATGTTCAAATCGATTAATTAATGTAGGGATATTTCTATGTGAATTATTTATCAGTGGGCTTATTTCCATGTGAGCATACTTCTGTGTGAGCTTTTTTTCCATGTGAGCATATTTCTAAGTGAACATTTTTACATGTGAGCTTTTTTCTATGTGGGCATATTTCAGTGTGGGGTTTTTTTTTCAGTGAGTATTTATACCTGTGAGCATTATTCCTGTGGGCTTTTTTCCTAGAACTCATATTTACATAGCTGCCAATTCGTCTGGTTTTTCATCATATCTCACTGCTTTTAATAAGGAAAGTGTTTCTCAGCAATAAATGAAATTTATTGAATTAATAAAACTTAAATAGTGCAAATTCCATTCCTCTACTTCAAGATATTTTCAGCATGCTTTCTCTTACAAAATTCTATATAATCTGCTTGTTTTTAATATTTGTAGAACTACTTAAAAGAGATTCAGTGTATAATCAGTTAAAAAAGTATCTGTATCATTTAATTTTGTGTTACTTTAATATGTGATGTAGTACTAAGTTCATCCATGCAGTAGTATGTGAATTAATTTTGTTTTCATCATATTTAAAATACTTTGATTTAAAAGCTTTCCTTTACTACTTAGGATTTTCTCAGTATAAAAGAATAAGAAAACTATAAAATGAAATTAATTAAAGAACATAAAACTTAAAACATCTAATTAAATTTTAATATATTTTACATCAAAAATCATATTACAAATAGTCCAGTTACTTGAATTATGTATTATAAAGTGAGTAAAAATCAATATCTCTATATAAATCTTTTGAAATAATGTTGTCTAACATTAAAGCTTCCCAGAAACTCTCAATTTTCACATTACAACCTCCAGAGTTTTCATATTTCAACTTGGCAGCTGGGTATTTATGTAAATTAGTTAAGTTTTACGCTTAAATATTACTTTGAAGACTTTAATTATTGTGTATGTGTCAAGATTGTATTTACTGACTACACTGCAATTCAAAATAGCTTTTTAAAAAAGAAACAACAGTTAACATGTTAACAACAGTGTCATAGTTACTTGGCATATAGGCAGTGGTACTAGTGTTTTCACCATTTTTATCAATAGAAAATAATTGAAAAGTGAATGTATATACATCTTTTTAGATGTCAGGTAATGCAGTTAAAATTTTGTTTCTATTTTTGTGAATTAATTTCTGAAGAAACTTATTAATTATTTTTAAGTTACCTTAAATCTAGTACTTACTTTGAAAACCATAGAGGTTTTATGCTATAAAATTTGATGTTAATAAGGTTATTATTTGAAGTTAAGCAATCAAAAAATAGGAAAAATCATCACTGTATGTAATTTTACAATTTATATTTATAATATAATTAATTATAAATGCAATTAGAATTATATGTATAATAACTGTAACATATAATTAAATCAATTAGTATTCATAATTTATCTTTCCTTGAAAAAGGTACATTTTTATTTATCATATAAAATGCCATCCTCAGAAAATAGAATTCCATGTCATTTGGCGTCAGAAATGTTGTCATTTGGTGAAGTATGAGGTCTTTAATCTACACTATCCTCCAAATGTTAAGCAACAGCTTGTTTTTCGTGTCTAATTTAAGAATGAAGCAACATAGAAACAAAAAATTTGCAAGACAAGTTCACTAAACAGTTCTTTAATGAATGTGACATAGAATGTTTCTAAAGTTCAACACAAACATGAATTACAACAAAAAATTTCACTCTTGACAGAGAAATTCACTTTTGGAGAAATAGTATATCACAGTTTTTTGAGGAAAAATGGATTCTAATAAAGAATGTGTCCACCCCATAGCTGCATAATACATTGGCAGCAGTGACTTTCCATGCTGTCAATTAAGTTGTCAGTCAATGAAATGGGAAGCAACGACCAGACACGTAGTAATTCAAGCTCATCTAATGACCTTGGAGGACTTAAAGCAACAACCTGTCTCCCACTGTAATTCCAAAGATGTTCTATCGTATTCAGGCTTGCAGATTGAGCTGGCCATTCCATCCGCTCCATACCATGGCCCTCAAGATATTCTTCAGCAACCTGAGCTCAGTGCGGTCGTACATTGTCGTCCATCAGAAGAAATCCAGGACCAATAGCAGCGACATATGAGTAGACATATTGATCAAAAATCTCGTCTTGATATCTCACACCAGTCAAAGTTCCTCATGAAACACATGCAGGTTAGTGTAACCACTGAGAGTGATCCCAGCCCAAACTATTATTCCACCACCTCTGTAATTGTTTCTTTCCACAATATGGGAATGGTTGTACCTGGTGCATTGTTCCCTCCAGATCAGCTGATGACCTGAATCACTCTCCAGTGTGAACATGGACTCGTCTGTGAAGAAAACAGATGTCCATTGTTGACTGGTCCAGGAGATGTGCTCTCTTGCCAACTTAAATGGACACCTCTGTGTCCTCGGGTCAAGGGGACACAAACAATTGATCATCTTGCATACAGACCTGCATTGTGCAGGTGTCTGCTCAGTGTAGTAGCTGAGATTCTTGTTCCTGTTACCACTAAATGATTTGCCATGAGCTGAGGCACAGTAATGTTATTCCTCTTTCGGGCCGAAAAAGCTAAATAATGGTCTCATGCAGGCTTTGTAACTCTAGGTCTGCCTGGAACATGTCTTCTAAACACAGAATCCTCGGATTCAAATTGATTGCATAGTAGATGGGCAAGAGACATTGAGACTAGCAGCATTAGCTTGTGACATCTCCATTTCCATCCACCCGATCGTCCATCACCTCAATGAATTGGGCAAATGACTTCTCCTGGGTATTGTCCACAAAACTATCATAAAAACTGAAGATCAACACTCATGAACAAAAATTTTTGCATTTTTTCTCCAACTTCTATATAAGTATTCATTTCTATAAAATAAAAATGAATATTTTTCTTAAACTGCATTACTGTCATGCATATGAACTGTTAATTTAAACGTTATTGACATTTTTGTAATGGTGAGCTTTGAAAAACATGCTGTTCCTTAACTTTTGGAGGACAGTGTATTTTCCATATCCGTCACAAATAGCAGATTCTTAGAATGTTACCATTTGACAAAGCATAAGATCTTTATCTTTGAAAGTTATGCAATCTATTATTGGTTGAACTTGGTATTTACATTTTAATTACTTTGTAGTTAAAACTACTGTTAATTCTGCAGTAATTGCAGTTATAATACAATGCAATTTTGAGTTGCAATATGATTGAAATAACAGTTATAATTTGGCACAACAGTAGCCAAGGTTAGATTAGACTTTTTATTAAATAATGGTTATTTCTGCATATCTTTATAATTTCTCTGTATATAACATGAATAGGAACCATTTTCTCCAAGAAACTCTTCTACAAGGTCATCGCTCTTCTTAGATGTTTTGCCAAATTCAATTTCACAAACAATTCATGCATATTTTTGCTTAACAATTTACACACTTTTATTTTAATCTGAAATATTTCCTGCAT